TTCAGAGACAGAGTATAGTGTGCTCGGTGTCGGTAAATGAGGGCGTCTCGATTTAATTTCCGTCGGACGATGGATGCAGTCCGAATGTTGATAGTATACTATATGTATCATATGCGAATGAAACAACTACTGATAAAATTAAAGCAAACTGTTCATTTAAAATGTTACTAAAGTTACGTTACGTGCCAATTCATTACGCTTACATTTACGTAAAGTTTCGGATCGCACGGAAGAGGGGAATCGTTAATTTCTTATTAAGCATTCGTATTAATATTTATGTGTTTTAATAATATAGTTTTTAGATGTTCTCGTATGTATTTATGTATGTTAAACTGATCATTTAATAGGTATTATATAATCTCAGTGGAGGTCCATCTGAAGGTCAAAACCAAAAACTCGATGCAGATAATAGTAGTAGAATTATAAATTCGTAATAATAATACAAGGATTTTATTTAAATTTATAAATGATTCCGTTAAACATGATATTTTCATATATTAGTGATTTAGACGCACAAAACCGATACACGAGTGTATCAGTTATGGTTTACTGAAATTATTTTTAATTATTTACAGTTATCAAAATCTTAAAATAAAAGTATTCTTCAGCATATGTACAGGAAAAGATAGGAAGAGCTCCAATCACTACATTCTCCTAACAGTTTAAACATCTGTCCGCGTTGCCGATGATAAGAATAAGCTCACATAATGAGATCTAAGACTTTCACGATTATTTATTTAAATGAAACTAATATTTTTAGTATAAAAAAAAATATATACTAGACGATAGACTAGACTACTAGGTCGACATCTCGTCTGTCCGTGATCACGGTTGCTAAAAAGTAGCCGAAACGTCAGGAGTATGTAGTTTTTTACAAAAATAAAGCACGCGTATGTAGTATATCCGAAAAATGTTAATTTCATTTAAATCTGGATATACTGTTTTAGATAAGTAGCGTAAATAAGTGAATATATGCTAACCACATACAAAGTGTGAGTCTATCTGAAATATTAGTTTCATTTAATAATAATAATTTCGGTCAATAATTCACAATGGGTCGCGTACCGATAGTTATAATAAAGTTTGTCCAAGTTAATGGAATGAGATGGTGTGTTAGAATAAGGCGTGTCGATTTGATATCCGCCGGTGGCCGGTGGCCGGTGGGCTTATGATAGATGGCAGTTTTATTAACCCTACGACCGGACGTGCGTCGACTTTACGATTTAACGTGAGCTACAACATTTACTAAGAGATTCACGGATCTTTAAAAAATTTGCTATACACATATAATATGTATACAGTATACCGCGTAAAGAAACTAATTCTTTCAATTCGTACTGTACAGTCATGATAATTAAAAATGTATATTAATTTTTATTACTTATTAATTTAACCAAACCCATTGTGAAAGGAACAATATATACATATGTATATATATTTATTAAGATTGAAAATTGAGTTGCTTATTTTCTATTAACATACATATATACGAATTAACCATTTTTCATGAAAAATGTTTGATTCATTTGCATTTAAGGCGAAAACTGATTTCCTGAATAAACTATCAAGTACGATTCATTTATTCGATCGACAATTGTTTTACTTAATTACTAAGAATTTGGAATATTTGAATAATCTACTATTATTATTTACTTAATTTTAAGTTACTTTACACCTCAGGATTTCCAAATGGATGTGCATTATAAAACAATGATTTTATAATTTTGAACAGTGTTTTATAAATGAAAATATTGTATTATATCAACATAAGAATTTCATTAGACACTATAGAATACTTAATTTCAATAAATAAATATTCCATTGTTAGATCTATTAAATTTTTTCTACTACATCATGCTACATTTTTACACGTAACAATTTCGATGTTTAATGAAGTGTTAAGATATAGTTAGCATGGCGTTTAATGAAGTGTCACGAACAATGGTCCCGTGATCAATTTCAAAGTACACAATCTGAATAGTTGTATCAAAGTTGCGAATCCATCTCAGGTAGATAGCCGTTAACGCCTTTTAAAATGGCCCATTGTACGGGCGCCTAGAACGTTTAACTTATACCGAGAAGAATAACTTGAAAACATCTGCCCATTCGAAAGCTTTGTGTTAGTTTCTCAAATTCTCAGGCTCGATCTATGCTAGCATTTTTTTGCACTTATAAATATGCAAATTTTTTAACATCACAGATGTTTTTCTACAATTTTCTGATACATACATTTGTACTAATTATAATGAGTTTTCAGTCAGAGATATAATTTTTATTTTAACCCTAAATTAAATTGTCAAAGAGATTATGTTAATTGAACACTTAATTTCGTATTCATCATAAATGTTTACTGTCAAAATTATAACTTGCCGCGGCATGACCGCATACAGCGAGCATACATACGAAGTTCATGATTAAATTCATTCACAGAACACTTATCATTTGATTAATTAAATAATAGTTCAACTAGAGCAAGAGTTTGTGAAAGTATGACACCTACAGCAACCGGCCAAATAAAACCCGGCCCATATAGAAGACGACATAACAGAGTACTATATGAACCATATACGTGACAACGTGGGTCTACCACCTACAACACAGCCCACTGTAGTTTTTTCAATGGATCTAGCCTACGTGTCACCTAACTAGATATAAAAATAGGCTAGCCTTGTATTTATGTCTAGAAAACGCTTATTCGCTTACCTAATAAGACAAACGCTGTTCTATCCGCGGGTCTCTTGGCGACCCCTTAAAAATCACTGTCCAGTGGAACGGTAACGCTTTCCTGTTGGAATTGTATCACAAATACTCGCGACTTCGAATTTCGAATCCGATAAAAAATTTATTTAATGGAGCATGCGCCTGCGTGGCTGCGCAGTGCCAATCGCGACTGAGCCGTGAGCGTGGACGAGGCACGCGCGCCTCGGTGGGGACTTCATTCACAAACCGACCGGCGGAGAGCGAGGTGGGGCGAGGGGGGGCCCAGAACACCCGCCACAGCCATTCATGCGACCACCGAGCCGTTCTGACCTGCAACTGCACTCGGCTATCCTCCGTATAAAATCATGTTAAACTAGTCTGGCGTCTTTCGCCTGGTCCCTTGCCCCTTTTGGGTTCGCAACAATCGAATTACTTTAAAAGTTCGAGGAACTTTCCGATTTTGCGGATCGAAGCGTTCGTGACACCGAAACAAATGTAGGGTCGGCGAGAGGCCGGTGAAACTGGTGAGTGGTGTTGTTGAAGCAATGGGAATGAGAACTTTTATAAAACATACAATATAACTTGTAGAACCTATACCACGTCCGCGTCATTAAAAAACTTCCTATAAAATCCCATAATATGATGATAATAACAAAAATATTTAGTTTGTATATTTTGGATATTTCACGAATATTCTGAGTAGTTTTTTCAAAAGCATTATAAAGCTTGTTGCGCTAAGAATTAAATTCTTCAACACCCGTACTTGCGGTTGAGAAGGCAGACTCGATCAAGCACGAGCGCCAATCTGTTACATAAAACAGTGGCCGGCTGCAATTTCCGCATTGTTTCCGCAATATTCACAGATTTTTTATATAATAAATCATATCTATTAATTAAAATATCGTTATAACAAATTTGCAGAGCTGTAATGTTACAAAGTGTAAAGCCTACAGAGTTGCTTTGAGACGAAATCTAATCAACATAACTTACATTGAACTGTCAATAAAATGTCGTGTGAAGTACATAATAAAAATGTTTATGAATTTGCGGTGTACCGGCGCGGGAGCCTGCGCGGGCGCACAATTAATCGCATGTGGGCGTAGATTACACTTTTTTGAACGCTTTACGTAATGGCAATAACCCATTGATAAAAAGTTTATTGCGAGCACTCTGGTCAGGTTCCCTTTAATTAATATATTTATAAAGAATGGATTCGTGATTACATCGTCGTGGGTGTTACTCTCGTGAGTTGTTTTTTTTCTTTAACTTTTGGCTTACGAGATTTTTTTAATGAGAAAAAACTAAATTAATAACATACAATACAATCTCGGCTTACTGTAATTTTCGAAATTAAACGATATGTGTTTTAAAATACATATTTGCATATAGATTGAGTGAGGATGTGTTCGATGCATTATGCTAAAAATTTATATGAAAAACCGTGTCCTATAAGAATTTATTAATTCTCCTTCTAAATGTTAAATTAAGTTATACTTTATAAACATAGTATCGTTTTCATAAAGAATTTTCGATGACATAAGAGAAAAAAAACACTGTGTCTCCTCGTGTTTGAAATCAATGTAATAAATAGTATTGAAACAATTATTTATATGAACCACAACTAACGTTAAGGAACGTCGTTGGTACCAGATATTCTTAACAAAATATCAATAATACATGTATATCTAGCATTTTATAAACGATTTTTATTTTAATAGACTTGACTAAAAATATTCGCGCTTCAAACGAAAGCTAGCCAATACCAAATTCAATACAGACTCAACATGAAAATAAAAGCAGAAAAAAACATACAACTGTCGAGAAAAAAGTTTTATCTCGTATGTGTTATGACACTTGTCCCATTTTCTGCATGATACTGATCGCCATAAAAGGTCACGTGTGACAAGACGAGACGTCTCAGAGGCATTACGGCCAGACAATAGTAAACATACCACATAAATTATTACAATAAATAATTCAAGAACATACATATAGAGAAAAGGAGCCCTACTTAATTAACTTTTTTTGTACAACTGTGACGATAGAAAAGACTGGAAGAAATCTTATTTCAACTCTTTCGTTACATAACATTAAAAGAATTTTCTGGAAATCACTAAGTATACCACATAATATATAACGATACATATTTTTATGTAATCTATACTCAAATATTTTCTATGGAAAAATAATCAAATATGAATCGTTATTAAACTTAATCGACTTTACATTCGCAATACATTACTATCAATAATGGGACTACAAATAGGAATTCCAATATATATGGATGGTGTGTCACTAACCTGTATAACAAAGAGCCACATAATCTTTGTCGGTGGCGGTGCCTTCCTTCAAGTTCCATGACACTCGCAGGTGCGTCTTCTCATCCGTCCATATGATGCTGCCCCTGGGTTCGTTTCCCTTCTCCGACAAGTCCCCCTTCTCTCCCACCTCGCTCGCCTCACTATCCTTAATACTGGCACTGTTATTGGCACTCCCATCATCACAAGTCACATCGCACGTCTGACACTCTTTGTCCAGGGTTCGTTCACTATCGATGACATCACCATCATGTTCCTCTGACATGACTTAACTTATTGATACATCGCCGACTAAAATATCGTAATATAACAGATTGAAATATAAATAAACTATATACGAGTCAAGTTGTTCCTTTGTGAAGCGGAGTCTAGTAGTGGTCGGTGTGAGTAGCGAAAACGGAAAATCACGTGGGATGAGGGGGAGGGAGGTTAGCAGGGTTGAAGCTAGTAGGGGCTGTCGGCGGAGCGACGTCGCGACGCCAGTCCGACCGGCGCCGACAAACCTACTGACGAACTAATGCGATCTATTCAACTGCTCAAAGAACTCAACACTAACAATGATTTGAATTAAGAATATTACCATGAGAATATACTTAGGGTAATTAATGTTTTTGAAGATCGTCAAAATGAAAAAATATATGTCTGTGTGCAGGGAAAATTATAATGATTTTTGATTTAACTGGTTACACAATATGAATGCAAATAGTTGATTTGACATCAAGTTTTCTATTTCAAGGAATGAAAAGATGTATAATGGACCAATTATTAAACAAATATTCTAACAAAGCATCTATCTATTGCCCGGAATGTCATAATACATACATGATAACTCTGAGGCTTTTTTATCAGAGATTTTTACTATTCGCAATTGACTTATGAATAAATTGAATTTTATCACTATATGTGTGTTACTTATGATATCATGTTATACGCACTTTAATTATATAGTTTTTATATTAAAAAAAAGAATATTAATAAGATTTTGGTATATTTTTAAATTTGTTTATATGGAATGTTTGGTTTTTCCTATACCATGGGAATAATATTGTTTATATAATAATATAAATGACTGGGCTTCAAAGATTTTAACTAAGTATGCTGTTTAGGGATTGGTGTAAGATAAAGAGATACATGATGATACAAAAAGAGATAATGATTATAAATATAAAAAAAAAGTATATGAATTGTTTTATCTTAGTGAATATTTATGGAAATACTACATGGAAATAGAAGTATAATTCTGATAGCTTGAGCATCTTATGATAGAAATTCTGGCATATCAGCTAAAGAAATCACATGTACAATAAGAATATATGAAACAGATATCAAGACTGTGTCAGTGTTGATGATAATGAAGAACATTTTATTTACTTTTCAGTTACAATCGATAATTTTGTCACTAAGCAAATAAAAACAACACGTAATAAATACAAAAATGGCGAGAAAAATAGCATGATCTCTATTTATTTGAAAAAGAATATAGAAAACACTAATGCCACTAACACTTTTCTGGTTATTCCCGTTATCCTATACAAAAAACACTACTTTATCTTAATTTAATTTTGAAAATATTTTTACTAGTGCCCATCTCCGTATTTGTTACCGCAGACCGTGTTCCCTATTTCCATTGACGTCGAGCGAACAGGATACGTATTTCTCACCAATCACTAAGAAGAAAAAAGATCCAAGACATTGGTGATTGGTCCAAATGTATAGTTTGTTATTCACTGCAGATGACAGTGAAGATTTCATTGAACTTGACATTAAAACTATAGACGTCAATGTCAAGATGTTTTCGTTCAGGATTTATGAATAATTTAAATGAGAAAATATCATTGCTTATTAAAATAATAATTTATTTTATTTGAACATTGATAATTGAAAAGAAGTAATGTGGCAGTATCCAAAAAAATTATTGTTCGTTTTTTCAAAGTGTAGTAATATTAAACTTTGTTAATTGTCAAAGTCAAACATAAAAACGTTATTTAGTACATATATGAATTTAAAACTACTCTTAGTACCGGTAAACATTAAACAAATACAAAAAGAAAGTAAAAAAGTCCTTGCATTTTCACAAATTGTAATTAATAGTATCAACATTATGACTTCAGCTCCATCAGATTCTGAATCAAACCTTAGTGGCTTCATCAGATACAGTCATAAAGATTATAAACGTTTATACACATCCATGATAGAGGTATGTTTCACTTTATAACAAAATACACCTTACTAAAATACTAATTAATACATTTTAATCTCTAGAGCATGGAGATGATAAATCAAGACCTGCTGCAAGTTGAAAAGAATATGAAGAATATAGTACAACAGTCAGGACCACTTGAAAGTCAATTGGCAGCATTACTTCAGTCGTTGCCGAAAAAAATCTCTAATGTACCCATGGACACGGAATAATTATTTTAAATTCATCTTGAAGTTGTAATATGTAAAAAAATTACCATTCAGTTTCTTGTATCAAGAAAATCTAGAATTTTTTTTATGCTGATGACTAACAATAACAAATATAGGTAATAAAAACAAATAATGAATGAAAACCATAAGATATATCCTGGTATATTATTAATATATGCTTATTAAGTTATAATAAAATGTTTTGTAGTAAGGAAATTAAAACAATGAATCTGAATGAAATTAAAAACCTGTAGTATTAATATTACAATATTCAAATTGTGATATGAGAATGCCAGAGTACATATGTGCCTTATCATATCATAGTAATATAGAAAACTGATAGTTTTTTTGTAATTTATAATGCCGTTAGTCCTATGGTGACAGTCACCGGGAGGCCAAATCTGTTGTATACTGATCACAAGGTTTTATGGTTGAACAAAATATTTGATAATTACTTACATTTAGTAATCTAGTAAAACTACATCATAGTTTAATAAAGGAAATATAAGAAATGTATAATATGTAGTTTCGAGATTCTTGTTTATAGTAATGTACCATATTGCTAAGGAATTTTTTTAAAATATGTTTTGATATTAAATAATGTTTTAAAAAAAGTTGTATCTTATTTTTATTGTATCCATTGATGATAGAAGACATTTTATGTTCTTTAAAATATGCTATCAATATTATAATGTATATAACATACCTAATAAGATATGTTACATTGAAAAGAAACTCAATATTTATAACAAAAACCATGTTTAATAAAATATATTACAGGAGGTTTTATAAATGTCATTTTAAATGTAATTTTCATAATCCTCTTTTAGAAAGTGTTTGTTTTATAGTTTGTACGTCCAAATCTCAGTTTGAAGGTAAAATATTATTAACAGACCTAAAACTCCAATTTAATAGCTATATACCATTGATAGTTAAAAAAAGATTAAAACATCAATATGCCTGCACTTGCATAGATGAAAACAATAGTATATGTACTTGTATAGATGAAAACAATAATGAAAAATGTAATATAGATGATGGTGAAATTTAAGTTATTCTAATTATGTTAATATTATTTTGGCAAACTGGTTGGTATTACATAAATAAAATAGTTAAAAAAACGTGTAATTTTTATGTTAATAACCCTATGATGGTGTGGACAAAAATTGTAACAGTTAAATAATTTTTTCTTTCAGAAATTCGCAATAAATTCTCATTATAGCACCGCAAAACATTAGTGGCTAAGTCCTTATTGTATAGTTATATTAAAATTATAAGTCCCATTTATTTGTGGAAATTATATTAATAGCATAAAAAACTTCTAAGGAGTTTCCATTAAAATAGTTATATACTTAGCTTATAGTTCATTATTAGTCTACCGTCAGTTTTGACAGCAAAAGGGTAATTGTTTTTATTTTTCAATTTGTAAAATGATTTATTAGTTTTATTTAAAAATTACGTTATCATAAATCTCCGCGATGACTACAATAAACACTCGAGCTAAATCTCCAACCAGAGCAGAGGCTATAGCCAAAGCTTTGAAACCTGGTCCGGTTTTTTGTACTGGGGTACTCCTAGGTCTGGTTTCACTTATTTTTATAATTATAATAAGTGTAGTTGTTTAGTTTTGCGCTATTTATAAATATTATTAATTATTAATAATTCACGGAGGTGGATTTTTGATTATTTATTTTTGTCGAGCAATACTATATGTATTTACTTGCATACTTACCTATATACTTACTTCTTTCAATTCCTATAAGTAAGCTAATAAAAATTTCAAATTAGCAACGTTCTTCTATACATATACAAAAAAAAATGTTTTTTAGTGTTCAATAAAAGCTAAATTTAAAAAAGTCAAGTATCATACATTTACCCTAGTGTAAGTTGGAATTTCACATACAAATAACATGTGTAGTTTAGTAACAGAATTAATTAACAAATTAAATATAACTTTAGGTAACTGGGTTGAAGATAGAATTGAATGTCCGAAAGGCGGTACGTTTTATTTTCCACCCAAGGAACACATAGACTATGAAAAATTAAAACCTGAATCAAGGCAGCCTGATTTTCGATTAAATAAATTAAACAGTCTACAGGTAGGTATATAAATCGAAACAGTTAAATTAAAAACCGTTACATTTTTAATTTGAACTTTTATATTTAGAAGTTTGAGGATGTTAATAATGTATTTTCAGGGTTATGTACAATCAGTTATTAGACACGACAGTCATGATTCGTGTGGTAACTTCGCAACTACAACCGACGTGGTGTACAACCATCTGCCAAAGCCACTCTGTGGACCCGACATGCGTTATTACAAACGAAGCGCCCATCAGTTTTACCCTCAACCGGATCTTATGAGATGTTTCGTATGTTCTATACAAAAAAGCATAAATATTTTAGTATTTATATTTTGTATTAAGACAAAAGATTTTCTACTAATTTATTAAATGTTATATAATTTTTTCGACATAAATATCTCTAAAGGCTTCGGCACTTAAAATGTAATTTGAAATATCGAGGAAGTATGTAAGGCTATAAATTATTTAAAATTAGTTTTTTAACTTTGACTTCAATATGATTATTGGTAATTAGGGGCATAGTTACCCAAATACAATCGGAAAACCGATTTGATAGCTCTATTAAAAGTGTAATCGTTATGTAATTTATCACTGAATTTTTTTATTTTAATTGAAAGGGTAACGTAACCGAATGGGGATTGAAAGAGTATCTAGAACACGAGTGGGCTTGTACAGACGTGTCGGACTATATCTCCACTCTATACGAGGACACGTATGTTCCGCCAAAACCACACCAATATTTACAGAGATGTGAAAGGAAAGCGAGGAATTCGTAAGTTACTGAATTAATATTAAACTAACTTGAATAAAAACTTGAATAAAACTGTGTTTTTCTTGCGTAGCAGTCAAAACGCATTGTAATATAAATGCGTGAGTGAATCCGAAACATAGTTTCATTTAAATGAATGTTGCCAGATACAGTTGAAATAATAGTCATTGATATAATTCATATACTTTATTACAGGAGCTTCACAAAAAGTTTTCACTATAAGATGACAAAATCAAAACAATGATAACATCAAGAATCATTTTTCTTCACTTTTTGCAAAAAATTACTAGTCTTTAAATATCACATTTTGTTCATGAAGGACAGGACAGTGACGTCCGTAGAAAATTGTAACTATACAATAATTCTTAATGCTTTCATATCGCCGACGCCCGGCACCAACACGAGATCAGCAAATAGTCTTACAACTAAGTTCACTCAACATTACAACTAATAACCGCTTAAAAACTAACGCAGGTGATACAACTTAACCATGTTACTTAAATTAATGGCAGTTCATGAAACTAGTTGATAAAAACGATCAAAGAATAAAAGGCAAACAAAAAGTTAGTAGAAACTAGAAAGGATTAGTTACGTAACAGACTAGCCCGGAGCTTTGGCTCAGCGGGCCGTGAAGTTGTCTGTGGGCAGTTTGATCAGTCGGGACCCGCTGGGGGCCTTGAATGTAGAGTTGGGAGATAACTGCTGGGCGAAAACGTTCGGCGATACGAAGGTCTGCTGAGCGAATCTCGGCTGAGGTATTTGTACGTGACTGTTGTACTGCATCTGTGGGAACACTGGCGTCGTGATGGGCGTGAAGCTTGGGTTTGGATAGTTGAAGCAGTTCATAGTGTTAGTGTTGTTAGTGAAGCGATCCATCAAGAGTGTTCTGTCTTCACCACACACGGAGTCCTCGCGCGACGGCGGTGAGAACACGTTCCGTTGATTCATACTCGACGACTGGGACTCGAACCCTGAACTTTGACTGGAAGACCGGCTCCCGTTCACGTTAAATATCTGCCCGTCATTGCCCCAGTAGCCCCCGGCCACCCAGGACGTACTGTGGCCCAATTTGCTTGGTGATATCAATGGCCTCGAATGATTTTGGGCTGTCGGAATTATAAAATTCGGAGACGCAGTGAACTTTCTCAGAGCGAAAACCGGGTTAATTTTCCGGCTCTTCTTTTTAGGACTGCTTATGCACAATGAATTTATACTTTCGTCTAGATCAGAATCGGATTCGTCTTTGATTTTTTGATATTTGTTGAATGATGGCTTCATGAAAACTGATTCTGAAATGCTTTTTGGTGAGTTAGTTAATGCAGAGTTAACTGTGTAAGCTGTGTTTATGTTTGGTTTACTCCAAAGACTGTCACTCCTGGGGGTGAACGACCTGCCACTTATCAAACCACTTAAAGGACTAAGCGTATCATTTGATGAGTCTGTGAAGTTGTGTAAACCAAATTTACTAAGAGATACATCATCATCAGTATCCAAAGATATGTTATCTTCTTCGTCATTAATACTTTTTGTGCCTCTCAGTAATTTTGTACCGCTCTTTGGTGTGTTAATTTTTCTTGTCACATTTCTAAATGTCTTTTCTTTCATGTTCATATAAATAAGCAATACTGCCAGAGTACTCGATAACTGTAACAGAAAAATTATGTCATGTAACATATTATAAATACAAGAATATTAAATTAGTGAATTATCACTACTTACTTTTAATAAGCTCATAATCAATGGGTCTACATCTACACGTCCATTAACAATCGATGTAATAACAAATAGAGACCACAGTAAGTCAATGACCACACTATAATTTGATTTATTTATATTCCAAAAATGTCCAACAATCTGTATAAAACATACAAAGCCGCCTAAAGCTTTCTGTGTCAAATCATTAAGACCGCTGTCGAAGTTTGTAAATATATCTATGTTATCTATGTCCGTAAAATGTTTCTCTAGAGATGGGAATGTGAGGAATGTCTTCATTCTGACTATAGAGACTATTCTTTGTAATATATTGTTTAACATTTCTTTAATATAATTTAATGTATATGATAAACTCTTGTGTTTCAAAGCATTTTCATAGCATTCGATCATCACTAACACTATAAGCACTCCTGCTATCAGCTTTGATGCATTGTTAATAACATTTTTACAAAATTCATTTCTTCTTGCAGATTTTTGGAGTTTTTTCTCTGGTGTCCTCATTTCTAAAAGCTTCGAACCCAATAAGGTCTCCTTTTCTTTGTGCAGTTTTATTTGTAGTACTTTTTTGCATGGACTACATAATTTATAAGCTTTTTCTAATTTTAATCTGAAATTGATTAATAATGATTAGAGAAAATAAGACCTTCAATTTAAAATTACTATCTTTTTGTCATATATTATCATTGGTTTCTTTTTTAGAATACATTACTTAGTGCAATTTGATAATATTGTTTAGACAAGATAATTAATGTTGATTCTTGTTTAGTATATTTTATCTGGGTACTTATTATATTATCAGTTACAAATGACTAAAATACATAAGTAATTGTTTGAGTTATCAAAAGATTGAAACGAAAATTTTAGATTTATATTTTAAATTTAATTAATTAACCTCAGTCATTATTAATAAAGGCATAAGAATATTTATGTATATATATTTATATATGTACATACCTGTAACATTCAACCTCCTCATCATATTTATTTTCATTCATAGGAACAAAATTTGATAACTGTGTCACCTTGAGCTGTTGGTTAATATTACACATTTTGCAGAGGCCATTTTTGGGTGGGCTTCTTTGGAATAATTTAGGACTTAATGAAACTTTCTCTTTCTCTATGTTTAACACCTTATTATAGTCACCGTCCTGGAATTAATGATCGGATGAAAAAAATAACACGAAAATAAATAAACTACCTGTATTAAACAAGTTCGGCGTACCTTCGTGAATCCATTATACTGTTCGCATTTTTTACAGGTCCAGCTGTTGCGTTCAATGTATTTTATCCAGAAGTTAGAATTACAAAACCAACAATTGACTCGCCAAGGCAGTGTTGACCTAATATAAGAACAATTTTTTTAGACACTTATATGAGGCGGGAAAGTATTATAACCTTAGTCACTTACCGCAAATTTAATATTAGTTTAAATACTAAAAAAGTACATAAGACTGAAGGTATAACTATAAGCGCGGAATCCATTACATAAGGATGTTTCATTTTTTTAAAGTTTGTTATTTATTTCATAAAATCATAATTCCATAACTTAACCTAAAATTACACAGCACCCACCCACCATCACTACTAAGCCACAGATAAAACATTTAACATGTAATCACAAAAATAATGTTTATACAGAATTTTATTTAAAAATAATTTAGTAAACCGGAATATTATGTAAATAAAAATTACTATACTGTATAAAATTTATATATAATGAACTTAATTACCTGGAAATAAAATTAAATGTCTTTTGGTTTGTTCAAATTCACTGTTGTCTCAAATAATGTATTTATTAAATACCGAAAATCCATTTTCCTATTATCGGCATATTTTCTTTAGAAGATTTTAAAAAAAGAAAAATTCATATGCATAAAAGTATACTGTATTTTATTTTTTAAGTTACATATATTTTGACGTGAATACGTAACTGATATATTACTAAGTAAAGTAACATTACTTTTAATCTAGTTTGTAATAAAATAATCTGTATTTAGATTAACTTCATATAAAAGTAAGTAAAATGTCAAATACGCAAAGTGAGGTTATAAAGTTTTGAAATCGTAAACATTCAAATTTTGTTTAAAAGTTATATTAAAAATATTACTCTGGTTTATATAATGGTGTCTAAAACAGAATTAATACCTTATCTATGTAACTACGATACCCATGCAAAACATTTAGGTAGTTAATAGTTTTTTAAATCATATCCAAAATTATCAGACAATAACTCTTAAAATATTTTATTTCAGAATCGGAAACAATAAAACAATTATGGTCGGGGACGTGGTCTATAGAGAATTTAGGACTCTGTTTAAAATTGTTAGATGGATTAAAGTCTGGCTCCTTAGACGTAACTATAACAAAATATATAAATGAAAATGGAAAATCAGAGTCAGTTTTACAAATAGCGATATCTTTATTTTTACAATTTTGTAACATCAATTGGAATTCACACCCAGAGAACTTAAATTTATCAGAATATTTAGGTGTTAACTGGCCGGAGGATTTGGATGTGAATGTGTTATTGCAGCAGGATTCTGAACCTATATATGTTAATTTAGTGTATCCCGAATTATTGTATTTTTCTGGAAAAATATTTTCTGCTCTATGTTCTATTGAGCCGTGTTGGGTGAGTTTTTCTATTGTATAAGGATTAACTACTTTTTAAATATTATTCATATTATGTTGAAATTCTGGTTATATTTAGATGGTTACTTATTTACTTTTATACATAACTATTGACTATATAAATATTTTGTGACATAATTGTTAGAAAAAACATTTTGTTCACAACGTTTTTTGTGTTTATAATATAAAACCATATTTGTTTTAAAGCTTGTTTGGATCATATATTAAATTTATTTTTGTCCTGTAAAATGTACAGGTTTTCTGAGTTTTATCATTATTATGTTTTATTTTCACTAAATTAATTTGCAATTTTAGTTATTGAATACCACTATTTAATTTTTCAAATTAAATCCATACTTGTTACAATGTATGATATAAGCTATGATCTTATAATGTTCTAAGATTAACCTTTATAAAAATTAATCCTCAGTTACATCTGTGGTGGAATCTTCGAATCTTGATCACACATCAAAGGGCTCTTGAAGACACGAGCGCCTCTTTGTATAATGAAAGTGAACTGATTATAGCCAAACTCTGCAATGAGTCCCAGAGGTTTGAAGATCGACGTCTTAAAGTACTGCTATTCATGGAGATTGCACAATTATATCTGTTGTATGCTAGAGTTCAAAAAGTTGAAGAGTATTTGTTGAAGGCGCGGGAACTCGCTGGATTAAAACTTGAATTGACAGGTTAAGTATATATATCAGTATATTTTGGAAGATTCAAGTAGCATTTGTGTTATTTGATAAACATAGTAAGATATAATTGTACAATTATTACTGAGAGTGTTAATATTGGTAGCATATATCTATTATATAAAATATTTTACAATATCTTCCTAAATCTTACATTTGTCTGCTTGAATCAAATTGAGTTATTTGGACATTGTTTAATACAATTGACTTCCATTTCTTTATGTAAACACAATTGTTTTGTTTCTTTTTTTCTGTCTGTGATGATTAAATTAAATGTTCTATATTGTGGTATTTAAATTATAAGAAATATATATTTACTAAGTATGTAATTGCTAATCAGGTAATTATCATGATGTCCTTTATAACTTCAGGTATCCTAGGCAAGAGGACAAAGTTCCAACAGGAGTTAAAAGCTCAGTTAGTGTTAACGAGTGAGCTTGATAACAATATTAGTCGTCCGTCAGCGGAACAAAGTCATGGTGACTCTGAATTACCTCCAGATATAGAGCTGCAGGATGATGTGAGGTTGAACAAGATACAGTATACTGAGAGTGTGACACAGGCTGAACTACCGAGCCTTGAACAAACTCTTTGTTTATTAACTGTGTAAGTAATATATTGCTTTTATTTATATGTAGATACATATCTTAAGATTGAAATGTATTAAAAGACAATAATTTGTAATTTGTGTGTAAAATATTAATATTGCGTGTCCCTCCACGCAGAAGAAGTGAAATTCTCTTTATGTTGGTTTGAAAACAGGGAGGTAGATATTGATTTATAAGTTATTTTTAATGTTTCTTTAAGACAATTAATATATATTGATATAACTTACAAGTCATAATTGATTGTCTCTCGTTCTGTCTTTTTTTATCACATTGTTACTTGCAAGGTTTCAAAATAAAGGAAACATTTTTTTATATAATTTGTTTGAAATTGAAATCATATTGTTTACAGTCAATACCTACTTAAATCCCAGCCAAAGGATGAATTGATGAACGAGGAGCTCCAGCCTTACATAGAAACGATCTTATCACAACCCAAGGGTCCCTGGTCCACTCGAGTCGCTGCACTCCTGATACGATGCAAACTTGAAGCCAATCACAAGAGGACCGTGGAGAGATCTATGTTACAGTGTGAGACTATAGTTAATGAGAAGACTAACGTGGCCCCTACTACCAGGTGTGATTTTAATATATTACTATTAGGCATATTAAAGAAACTAATATTTAATTAAAGTTATGAGATAGAATGAGAATTTTCGTCTCGTCTGTCTGTGATTACGGTTGCTAAAAAGTAAACGAAACGTTGGGAGTGTGTAGTTAAAATAAAAAACGAGTAGTTAATCCGAAAATATTAGTTTTTTATTTAAATGAATAGTCGCGAAAGTCTCTTACACATCATTAACACTATAGTGTGTGTGCCTAACACTATTGTTAATTGTTTCGTAATACATTTCATCTACTATCTCAAATATTATTTTTTATTTTGGATTGTGCAAAGCTATAAGAAATTATGAAAATGTTTCCCTTTTACATATTGCATGTGGTATGTATGTAAAAATCCTTGCACTATTGCGTATGTACATGGTACATGCAACTAAAAAATTACTTTTGTAGACTTTTTTTGTATAACTATTTTTTAGGTAATAACCGAAACGACGGCTAATGTAATAAGGAATATCTCTTTTAATAATATTAATATAAAAAAATAAATCAAGTGCAGACAATGTCGTGGGCAAAAGCTAGTACTATAAAATAGAATATAAACAGATAATTAGACTACAGTTTCCAATCATTCAAATCTATGAAATTGATCTAAACTGATATGTTATAATCAATGAAGACTGTTATATACAGGGTGTCTGGTGAATTACTATCAATATTTAAGGAGAATACTCGGTACATGATTCTCATTCGAATTATGTAAAAAAAATAGGCACTTAATTTTTGACAAAATTTCCGTATAAATAAATAAAGTGTTGACACGTTCCAAATGTTCCAAGTGTGGACGCGTGCGGCAGCGTGTTGATACAACACCACGCCCCGCTCGCGTATGTGTGAGTGTATACCTAATCTGTAGGGTGTTCACACGATGCGTAATTAATTACATAACTTTTGGATAACGTTACTTAGAAGTTTATTAATATTTATGTTATATTAATTTTTATTTTGTCATATATGATCGTCAAATATCACGTCCTCAAGTATCGATAGTAATTCACCAGTCACCCTGTATATATATATATGTCTACCCAGCCGTTTTCGGCTATAGTGACTTAGCTTTGTTTTATATTGGCTTATATTAATATTTATTATTTAATGTTCCCAGACTATCTTACCTCTGGGCAGCAGGTCTTCCCTTCGCGTGGTGTTGGAGACAGGAGCTGGGTAACTTGTACCTCAGTATGGGCATGGTGAAGGCAGCGCTTGAAGAGTTCCAGCGGCTACAGCTGTGGGAGGACGTTATAGTCTGCTATACTATGCTGCAATTGAGGCACAAGGTTAATATCATAAAAACAAAAATAACTTAAAACAAACGGAATTTTCTTGAATAAACAACAAAAAAAACTACCAACTTAACGACATCTAGGGCTTGTTGAGTTACGGAATGCTGATGATAAATATTTACTGTCTAAAAATATGAACACATTTCTTTGTTATGGAGAATGGCGTATCGCTATAAAGAGTGTTTTAATATGTGGGTTCTAAAGCAAACCAACCAAGTTGCAGTCACTTCGATGTTACAGGGAGTTTATTGTTAGAAAGGATAACATTATAAAGAATTTACAATATATATTTTACTTATATATTTGATTCCCAACAGGCAGCAGAAGTAATACAACAACAGATAGATATTAAACCCACAGTGAAGTTATACTGTCTCCTTGGTGATGCAACAGGTATTTAGAAAAACATTTATACATATATAAAACATTCTAGATATCCATTTGCCTAAAGTAAGATCTTTAAAACGCTCTTTTTGTATGAACATACATGTAATAAAATATCTCTCATAAATCATGACTTCAAGACATAAGACTAATTCTTTCCAATATATAAATTCTTCTAGATGATGAAGACTGCTACTCTAAAGCGTGGGAATTCTCTGAACATAAGAGCAGTCGCGCTCAGAGACATTGGGGCAACTTCCTGTTTGATCACAAGAAGTATGAAGAATGCATTCCTCACTATGAGAAGTCGGTTGAAATTAATTCCATACAGGAGAGTGTTTGGTTGAGATTGGGGTGAGTGTACACAAATGTCATCGTCCCAAGAGACAAGATAAAAAAGGTAAACAATTAAATATATGACATTGTGTATTTAATTTTGTTCTAGTTATGCGGCCTTGATGACAGAGAAATGGGAATTATCAGCGAAGGCGTACAGACGCTATACATATCTGCACCCCAATACCTTCGAGGCTTGGAATAATTTGGCCAAAGTGTATGTTACGATGGGAGATAAAAACAGGGCGTACAGAGCTCTGATGGAGGCATTGAGATTCAATTATGATAACTGGAAGGTAGAGGCCTATTGCGAAATATTTGTTCTGATCAATTGTCTAACAAAATATAATTTAATCGTTGAAAATATCAGCACGTTCTTGTTTTCTTAGATAATGGATAATTTTGTTTGTAAGATCCAAAACATTTTTTCACACTACACCGAAAAAAATATATATTTTTTATAACTTTTTTGTTTTTCTGTCTGTCTGTTTAATTCGGCCAATATAAAAAATGACAAAAGCAATCCAACTGGATTTATACATGTTGATAGCTGCTGCGCCAAGTTTAATTAAAATAAAAACTGATAGTAATTAAGACTGTTATGTCCTTCTAAAATATTATTTTTCAATTCAATATTACATAATAAAACCATTCATAGTAAAGCTCTATAATAATTTATTTCACAGTTATGGGACAATGTAATCATGGTGAGTATGGACACCGGGCACTTCGATGATGTGTTGCGAGGTGTACACAGGATGTTGGACATACAACACAAGTATGAAGATGTTGAAGTACTGTCTCTGATGGTGAAGGCTATACTACAAGATGATAAGGACGCCGATGGAAACAGTGCGGCCAGGTTAGATATATTATTATAATAGGGAGAATAAAATGTATACCAGCTGCGCCCCGCGGCGTTACCCGCGGATTTCCGAGATTTCCGGGATGTAAAGTAGCCTATGTGTTATTCCTGGACGTCAGCTTCCTGTATACAAAATTTTGTAAAAATCGGTTCAGCCGTTTGAGCGTGAAGAAGTAACAAACATACACACACACACTCACAAACTTTCGCAATTATAATATTAGTAGGATACTAGTTAGGATTTTTTATATTATAGGAGATATAGGATAATTAGTGAATTATGTGTTTCATCATGAATGCTGAATTGAAGGGGTCAATGGAATTTTAATAGTTAAAAAACTTGCTATCATATTAGGGTAATAAAAATTGTTGAGATTAAAGTATAGAAATTTATGACTACAAAACAAATCTGCTTTAGTTATGTTCATGGAACTGTTATATTAGAATTGATTATAAATGTAGGCTCTTTGTTCTGAATTTTAATCTGCCGACGCGAAGTAGCTATAAAAATCTAGAATGAAATTTTTTCTGCTTCCAACAGAAACGCAAAGTAGTTTAGACGTTCAATTTAAATTGATATTTAATATTTAAATGACTTATATTTCAGATTACGAAAACGCACCCTGGAATTGTTCGGAAGAATCACATCCATACATCAAAATAAGCCGGAGTTGTGGCAATTATATGCAGACCTGAGTCCTACAATTCTACTTAAAGCACAACGCCTGCAGAAAGCTTATAAAGGATTCACATTGGTAAAACTATTACTACTTTACCCTTTATGACAATTTAATTTATCGTCATCAGCCTATCAGAGCCCACTGCTGAGCAAAGGCCTCTTTGTCACATGAAGAAGGTATGAGCAATAATCACTACGCTTGCTCAAGACGGGTTGGTGACTTCAAACTTATAATTGTGAGACTATAAGTCCAGGTTTCCACACGATGTTTTCGTTCACCGTATGTCAGTGGTGTCTAAATATACTCGCAGAAAGTACATATGACTCCGAAAAATCACATTGGTACTTGCGAGGTTTGAACCCGCGCCCTCGGCAACGAGAGGCGGACCCTTTAACCACTAGGCCTCCTCTGACTTATTTAATTTATATCAAACAAATTTATACAAATTTGCACATTTCAGAACGGTGATTGGCCTAATAGTCCAGATACATGCAAGAAGGTGTTAATACTTCTGGAACAGCTGCTGGAATATAGCTTAAAAGCAAGACAGGAAGCGGCAGAAAAAGATTATTCCCAGGCCAATCAACAGCTGTCATCAGCTCGGCTCACAGGTCAAGCTGGTGTACGTGCAGCTGAAAAACAAGACTGGCCAGATACAAACGAACAACTGGAAAAAGTTAGAACATTGTTGAACGATGTTACAGATTATATGAAATCAATTATGTGAACGAATATTATTGTTTTCATTATTAAAGTATAATATTTTTAATTTGTTTTCTATTATTCATACTTCAAAGAAACTTAACATATTGTCACGCCGGCTTGTATTGTAAGCGAAGGCGCCATCTCGTGGCAAGTGAATAAAGCTTTTGGCTATATGTTTACTAGAACATTCCTATTGTAATGTTTGTAAAAAAGTAGAAATATTAACGGGAATATCTTTGGATGTTTTAATAATGGGATTGTTGGGTATTAAAAGCCTGCAAGGTCGTTTTAGAGTTAATCTTTCGAGAAGCGACATACAACCGATACAAGTGATGTATGTGGGATATTATTTACGATCGTAATAATTGTATTTTCTGCTAAATATGGTATAAATATTAAAACTAATCAAACCCTACATCGTAACAATATGTACATTTCGATGTAGTTTTCTGAAGTAATTAAAAAATATATGGATAAAATTCACAATTTCGACATTTCGTTTTTCTCTCATTATTTTAGGAAAAGAGTAATGAAGAAATATTCATTAATTATTATATAACTGATAACAGGTGCTTAAACAATATTAAAATATGTAATTGTTTTGCTATTATTGCAGTCTGTTATATAGGAAGTGTAATTACAAAATCCTTTATCTAAATAAACATCTTGGAAAAAATACTTGGATGCTTAAAAATACTATTAAGTTAATTGATAACATTCATATTATTTATATTATTTGAACAATTAACTATTAATCATTATGTTAACTTATTCACAGTTACCTTAAATGAACAAATTTTATTTTATCAAGGGGTTTTTTTTTAATTTATTCGCATAATATTATTTGACTGTTAAAGATTATATATCGATACCTACTATATTTACTAGGGGAACACACAGCACTAATGTCATAAACTGTTATGAATGTCAAAGATATGTCGTCTAAGAATGGGAGGATTCAGTGTTTCTGTCACTTTTCAAAGTTAAATATAAATAATAAATTTAATTATAATGGTGAACTACAGTAAAATTGCATAGTTAGTTGCGATCTAAAATGGCAGCCTCAAATGAAGAAGAAATTTTGGAGGGCTTTCTGTGTCCAATTTGCAAAGCAGACTTAAAATCAGCTAGCCAGCTTACAAATCATTTCGAAAGCTTGCACCAAGAAGAGCAGGATGTTCTCAAATCATTGAAGGAAATATTTGGTAAAGCAAAGAAGATAATTCTAAACAACGACGATACAGATTTGAAGGAAACCTTTGATCGCGCTCTGAAGTTCAGTTCTCAAGAACGATATTACGCTAGGGAGGAGCAGACTGTTGGTGTGTCTCGAAGTTCCACTGATTATTTCAAGGCTGTTCGTTCAGCTAGATTAGAGAGATATGCCACGGAAACTAATAAGTTGTTAATAAGATTAGATAAATTGGTATGCAATATGCCAAGTGATCCAAACCAAAGGAAACAACATGAACAGGAAGTGAGTTATTCAGAATAATTTGACTTAGAAACCAATTTTGGAGTTATCCCTGTCAGGGAATATTAAGATTGTACTTTAAAAAAAGTATTTGAATCTTACATTAATTTCTCTCAATATATTTTTTGAGATTTTATGTTTTGTACATTTAAATTAAACTTAAACCTTAATTTTAATAAAAGAACATGCAAAAATCTCATATATAATTAAATTATGTTGTTGATATGTTATTTAATTTACAAAGTAAAGTTTTTCTAATAGGAGTCAAGAGATAAGTTAACGCTTTAAATATAATTGAATTCTGTTATTTAAGGTTGTTCCTTGGTTGGATGGGTCATCCGTCAAGTTATGTCCTAACTGTGCTAAAGCTTTCAATCTGACGAGGAGAAAGCATCATTGTAGACTCTGTGGTTCAATTCTATGCCATGACTGTTCAGTGTTCTTAGATTTAAATGTTGCTAGTAAGTTGCATCTGTTTAGTAAATTAGTTATTACTAAGATGTAAAGAAATTAAAGTGGCTGTAACATTATTATTTAATAAAATGTATAAGATTAAGCAATACACATTTATGTTCCTAATAAGATATATCTGTTTACTGATTCCTGAGAAATATATTCTTTTTTTGAGTATAAAATTTATATACAAACCTTTTTTGTTACATTTTTTACTTAACTACAACTAAAATGCTATATTTTTTATTATATATTTAATTTTAAGTATACATAGAAACTTGTATAAAAAATGGCTCATTATATACTTAATTGTAATATAAAAATAATTATTATTTTAGAAACTATAGTGGATCCATCTGCAACTCCTCAACCAGAGACATCAACGGCCGAGAAGTTTGGTCTCCGTCTGTGTGAGCATTGCTACAACCTGGTTCAACTCCGACGGCAAATTCAAGAGAACAGAAATGTGAAGACTGTGTTAATGTCGGCCTACGAACAGATGAGGAGTCTGATGGAACAAGCGACACCGGCTGTTGAAATGTATGAGAAGGTATATCATTTATTAGATTCTTCATATAGAATTACATGTGTATATAAGTAATATTTATAACCAAGGGTGTGTTATTTAAATTTGCATTTTATATAACATGCCGGGTAATTATTTATTAATTTATTTGCTTATCTTCTTTGAACACTATATTTATAAATGTCATATACAAGGTGATTAATGGTGAGATACATTTCTGCTTGCTTATAGTCCATTAGATTTAAGCTGAACTTTGCATTTGTGTGAGTGAAAATAAAAGTAAAGTCAGACAAAAAACTTTTAGAATTCAATTTTATTATATTTTAAATAGATACCTAACATAAGTGCTAGAGCTATTCTAGATTAAAAATAAAATAAGCAAAACTTGTAAAAGGCCAGATGGAAATATTATGGATTTTTTTTTATTAAGTAAAAAAAATTTTGAAAAAACAATACAAAATTTGCTTCACTCGAGATTGTGTTTTCAATATTTGACGCTGCTACCAGTACAAAGGGTGAAGTGCGGAAGGTGCGGGGCGGAGTAAAAGCAGAATAAACTGGTTCAAAACTAGAAAAGAACGTTTCATTCAAAAATTTGACATCTCATCTACACTATCCGTGAGCTCTCACACAAATGCAAAGCTCAGCTTAATTCAAACGCACTATACCTTTGTTATGTTAAAAATAGAGGCATAATGCTGGCCGAAAACAAATATATAGGAAAAAATAAAAATTATATCATATTTTATCTGTGGAGGTAAATATTTATTTCTGTTTATTACAGATGTGTCAGAGTTTGTTCGACGGGGAGACTATATACAATCTGTCGGATGTGAACGCTATGCGCGGTCGTATCGGGAAGCTGGCTGAGGGTATCGACTTATTGAGTAAACACATAGCGAGCCTGCCCGTACAGCCGGGGACCAGACAAGCCAAGCTACAGAACTCTATCAGACAGGCCTCCGCACACTATATAAAGGTATATTGGTTGACACACACTATATAAAGGTTGAATGAATCTAATATTTTTTGGAAGTGTTTCGCGATTTTATTTTTGATAAAAAACTACATACTCCCGACGTTCCGGATACTTTACAGCAACCGTGTCTGCCCGTGATCACGGTTGCTGTAAAGAAGAATTACCCTTTCTGAAATATAAGGACTAAAACGAATTGTAATGGTCATAATATGCGCACGATTAGACAGCATCTGAAGCAATTTTTTAGAGTAGTTCAATTCTACACAAATTCAAAACCTCTGCAAAGTAACAAACTCAATCGTCACAGATTCAACTTTAGATCACGACCTGACTTTATTTATCACAGAGAATCAAACAGCCGAAGGTTGTTGGAACTACATTTAGCAACATTTAGCATCACATACTCATTTATAGTTGTTAAAAATATGTTTAGCAGTTTTTTTTTGACGCAAATAGGAATAATGTTTGAACTGATTCTTACTTAGCGTTTTGCTAACTTCATTCTTTTGGATGTAGTTATGACCAAGTCAATATTCAACAGTCCACTTGATGAAATATGAACAAAAGATTTTGACCCGTCACGGTAAAGGAAGACTAGCTACTGCACTTTTTTTTATTTAAAATCATTCTTAACGAAACGTACACGTGGAAACTAATATACGCATATATTTTTTGATTTTATTTGGCAACAATTTACGGGAAATTTTAAATATACATATTTTATCTATCTTATAAAATATTTATTTATTTATTTTTTTAAGACTATCTATTTTCTAGTTAGCTATACCAACATGCAAAGATCGTAATTTTGGCCAATATTATTAATTTTAAATAACAAATAAACAATATTATTTTTTATTTATGTAATCAATAGTTTTTAAAAAGTCGAATCTCATCAACTGCTTTCCTTCAAAAATACTATGTTAACTTTTTTTTGTGCTACTTTTATAATTATTCTAAGGGTTCATTTACACTGGGATTGTGAAATACGAATAAACAATAAGAATAACATGTATATTAAAATACTATTAGAAATCTAAAAGATTACATTACATTGTCACTATTTATATATTTTAATTATATATAAATAACTTAAGATATTAGATATAATCATAGTACTAGCTTCAGACATGTCACATAAAAATATGATTACAGGAAGAATTGCTATCTCTACGGAAATTACCAACTGAGGCCCAAATAGAAGAAGTTAGGAGACAGCGGTACGAGCGGGCTCAGAAACAGATAGAGTTAGAAAGAGAACGGATAGAGAGGGAAAGAGAAAGGAGAGAGAAGGAGTGGGGGGAGGAGGGGGAGGCGAGCGGGGGGCGGGGCCAACAACACGACGACGATAACCCGATACTAGAACAGATGAACATTATAAGAGATTATATAAAAGAGGCCAGGAAGGAACTGAGGTTTGAAGAAGTAAGGCTAGATCTGTAATGGAGTTTGTTACGTTATGCTTGTTAATTCATTGTTAAATATGTTTTTATTGCTATGTTAAATAAGTTTCTAAGAATTATATTATGTTAAGTCTTTTATTGGATTTTTTTTTCAGGTGGCAATACTAGAGCAGAACCTCAAGGATCTAAAGAAAGAATATCAACTTCAAATGCTCTCAAACAAGTCCTAGTCATTCCTTTATAATATTATAATAATTAATTAATTAATATATTCTAAAATATTTTATATTTGATTATTGTTAATTATATTCTTATTTAGATGTAAGAATAAATACTTTAATGGTAAAAAAATATAGTTTTTATTTATCATTGATTAACATTACATGAAAGGATTCAATAAACAAATGATGAAGAGTATAAAAATGATTACATATTCTAAAACTATAAAAGTATAGTTTTTTTTTCTATAAATAACAGATATATTAAATAATGCGCTATTTTCCAAATTTCTCTCTGAATTTTTCTAACTTTTCCAATTGCTTCAATATAAGGGGACGTGTACACAGGGCCTTCTTAATCGTCTCATCCAAAAGCTTCTTTTGATAAAATGGTGCTATAGGCGTGTCCTCCAGATGGAAAGTGTGAACACGGCCTAACGTGTCGCCGACGAACACGTTGTCTCCTGACGGTGAAAACTTTATGTACGTCAGAACGACTTGACCTGGAAAAGTGTACTCTGCGCACGGCATGTGGTTCTTTCTGCGAAGGTCCCAAATAGATAGTACGTTTCCACTGACAGAAATTATCACAGTAGAATTGACCGGGCAAAAAGCTACATCGTACACCGCTGTAGGGCAGTTCATAGTTAATATGACGTCATCTATCCCTTCCATCCAAAGCCTGACCGCGCTGTCAGCTCCACAAGTAACTAGCAAGGTATCCATGAATGGAGAGAACTCCATGCCGTACACAGGGCCAGAGTGGGCTCTGAATACATCCATATGCTGGTTCAAGTAGTGCGTCGAGCATTTGTGGATGCAGCCCTCGTCTGTGCCGACGAAATAAATATGGTCTACATTCGGATGCCATTTCATACACAAAGCTGCCGGATGTCTTGTTATGGGCACGTCTTCCTTCTGACACTGTCTCGGTGCTTCTATACCTTTCATTTTACCCTCAACAGTTGATATGCGCATCATTGGCGAGCAAATAAAGTCGTGTGTTTTTGTGCTCGTGAATCTATTGATCCTACCGTCCTGACACGTAGTCATAACAAATTGATGCTCGTTTTCACCTGTCCGCCAACTTGTTGTCCAAATCGGTTCGAAACAAGGATTCGTATCGCGTTTGCTTTGAGCAATTATTTTGATGGGATAAGAAATAACATCTAAAATCAAGACGTCCCCATTAGAAAATCCACATGCTAACCAATTTGGATTTACATCCGCGAATGCTACCGACGTTAAAGGGTCTTGAAAGTTATATAATCTCTCTGGTTTACATGGATTTTTAGTACACCAAACACATATTAATCCAGTATGTTTTTCCGCATAAGTGAACTTTCCATGTCCTACCGCCAAAATATCGTTATTCTTAGGATTGAATGTGATGCTTGTTATGGGTCTATTTTCCGCTTCGGGACATTCGAGTGTCCACAAAGGCTTCATACTATATATATAAATTAAATCTAACGAGAGCGGGTCCATCTTCACGAGACCTCGGAACGTCTTCTGTTCCTTATCATATTTCAATGTTGAAAGAACCCTCTCCGTTAAAAGAATCGCATCTAAAAACTGTGGGGTGTTATATATTTTCGTCAAAAGTTTTCCCGCGTCGTTCGTTGCTGGGGTCATATTTGTCTATTTTCTTTCGCAATAGAGTTGGGGCGGCGGATTGATACATTACCATTTCGTCAGGTTTTTCTTCAGCCTTCACTCGAGCGAGACGTGCGTAAGTGTCATGCATATCCCACATAGAAGCAAAACTAATTGCATTTTTCTTTTGCGGCCTGGTAGCTAGTGTGTGTCTAGTTTGCGAGACACATTCCTTAGTTTGAGTTTCCTCTGTCACCATCTTTCGGTTTTTTCCTTTTCCTACTGTTATATATTGATAGAACTCATTTTCTTCTTCTACCGCTGTGGCCTCCGAAGTCCCTTTCTCGTATGAAGTTGTTGGTAATTCAAACAGAAAATATGTTTCCGTCTCTTTTAATGTTATGGATATTTCAGGTGGATACGACGTTATAGGATTCATTTTCGGCAAATAAAAAGCGGAGGGAGCGATTTCCAAATCTAGTTCGTCGGATGTAAAACCTTCTTCAGTATTCAATGTGTGGTCGATATAAATGTCGTCAAGGGAGATTGTGGTCGCATACACTTTCATCCCCGTATCTAAGGCAGATCTAGTCCTACTTTTGGCTTCTTTTAACGCCACCTCGCTCCGAGCTCTTGGTCTACTATCAAGAGCAGCGTGTGTAAAGGTATCTTGCATTGTGACAAAATCATTATCGACAATATTATCTGGAGTACAGTCTACACCGTCAACTATCACTTTGTATTTTTCTCTTTTTTCCATAAAACTATAAGCTGCTTTGGTTTTGACAGTAGATTCAGAGTCACTTGATTCATCAGTAACTATATTACCGCTTGGCTGAGAAAATTCCGAATTATAACTTAGAGACATGATTCAATTAAAATAAAAATACATATATATACAAAAATCTCAGATAAAACTTTTATTTATATCTTATATATTTTCACCATAATAAATAATATTCAAGGACCGATGTTTAATCTATCAATGTCAAAATAGTGATTTTTTATATGTTCTAAAAAGTTTTTAATCTTATATTTATTATACGCGTATACTAAATGTATGTATTTAAACGCTTATTTACATGTATCTACATTCTTCTTCTACCTAGCAATTTCCCAGCTTTAGCCAGGCTCTGCCTTAGATGGGTGAAGAGTTTTTTTGGCTAATTGTTTTTACGACCGGCCGCCTGCCTGACATCGACCCTCTTTTTGGGAATGCATTAATCAGTGATGTCTAAATACTCTTAGAAAGTACATATGATTCGGGAAAATCACATTGGTACTTGCCCGGGCCAGGATCGAACCCGCGCCCTCGAGCATGAAAGGCGGGCCTTTTAAGTTTTAACCACTAGGCCACCACTGACTTATTAACATGTATCTACATTGTTTATAATAATTATTCGACTTAAAATTTTGTTGCACAAACGATTCCATATTATATTATGTTGTATATTCAGCCATGATTACCAGCAAAAATTAATGTCTCAGAACTATATTTATACAATATTTATTTTGCTGGAAATTGGAATAAACAATAATAACGTAACAAAGGATTTTAATACATATTTTTATATTAATAATTCATTTAAGATATTTTTTACTGAATTTTACATCAATATACGTTCAATAACTCCTTAAAAAAGGTTTTTCTTAAAAAAAAAATATTTAAAATAAGAACGTTATTGTTGTTGGTGCGAAGTGTAGCATATCGCACACGGTGTCGCGGGCCGCGGCGTTGTGGTCGCGTCGCGCTTTGTCGAGCGTGATTCCGCCAGTGTTGGAAGGAGTTCAACGGTTTCTAATTCACATCTTACTTGCTAATTACTGTAATCTCGTACATATCATTTAACAGAAATTATTATGTAATTCTTACTCTACAAATTATACCTTAAGGAACTCGTCACCCAAATCTAGCTTAATAAATTTTTATTTTAAAACGGCTTTATTTCTATCTAATAGAAATTTTCCCAAAATAATAATTTTGCTTCTCATTTCGTAAAAAGTTATTGAAGTTTCAAAAAAGCAACTGTTCTAAAGTATAAGTTGTTCATACGCGTTTTCTTGCGGATATGAAAACTCCTTAGTATTTTTTTATTCCGAAGCTTCAAATCTTAGCTTAGCTACAAAACTTAGTTTTGATAAACAATTAATATTGGTCATTTCAATGACCTTATGAGTCGTATGTTCACTTAACAATATTATGGTTCAATAAACAGGTAACATTGCTTTATATTAAAAAGATACATAAAAATGTATGTGGGCGATGAAGAAGGAGCAGTAGGTATTAGCTGCAAAACCTTTTTTATTTCATTGTATGTTAATGCTAATTTTCTAAAATATATTACAGTTTTTCTATATGTCTAAAGAGTGACAGGCCATGTTTATGTAGGTACATATTAAATATGTATAAAATATATAATTTGAGAATGAAATAACTAGCAACAGTTGACATTATATATGAGTATATATTCTTGTTACCTATATGTGCTTTTGATTAAATTACAAAAAACACCTTAGTATCACACAAGATCGTAAACAAATATATAGGTAGTTCATATCCAATACTTATATAGTAACACAGATGCATCTATGTAAAAAACTAAATTAAAAATCAAGACCCTACCATTTTCGTGTAAGCTTATTAGTTATTTTAAGTGAATGAGTAATTTGCCCTTTTGTATTGAGTTTAACCACCCCGTGGTTTGTCGCGGGTGCCGAAGCGTGGCGTAACTATCATTTAGTCAGGAGGCGCGTGCCAAGAAACACTTGCATCATGAAGAGGATCTTGAAGATATTTAGAGATAGTGAGTTATATTCTGTCATATAGCACCCACTTATTGCACATTACAAATAATAGCACTGCACTTTAATATTAGGACAAGTTAATACGTCGATAAAAACAATTTTCAGTTTTTAATACTTATATATTCGTATGAACATCAACGTGGACGTAAATAAAAAACTGGGAACTATGTGTATTTAGTTTGTCGCTTTAAACTCGTGGTTAGTGTATCTAGACATTATATTAGTAGTGATATCTAAAATTTTCGCGAGCATTCATTGGAGTAAAAGTTATATTTTCGGAAGTGCTATCGCATTTATTATTTTAAACCACATACAAATTTACCTCGTCTTCCCGTTACCATGGTTGCCGCAAAATAACCGAAACGTCGAAAGTATGTAGTTTTAAAATAATAAAATACGCGTAATAAATCCGAAAATATAGTTTTATTTAAACTATATAAATAATTGAAACAATTACAAGTGGAAGAATGTGAAAAGTTAAATAAATCTTTAATGATATATGTACTATTATTAATAATATAATAATAATATCATTAAGTAATCAATAATAGACGAGCTAAGTATTTTTTTTATAAATTAAGTTAAAAAGTAGAAAATAATAATAGTTTAAAACTATCAAGTATCAATTATAATACCAAAGTTATTCAAATATCTAAGTAGGTATCTAAAAATATTAGTGAGAAGAAATAAAAAAATTTATTTAATTAATATAATAAAGACAAATAATAAAGTGTCACTACATACGGAGCGTATGGAGTTTTTTATTTGTTAAACCTCGCACGTTATATATATAGTTCTGTCCAGAACTAATTCAATTCATTCTTTTAACGTACTTCGAAAGCAGCCCTAGTAGGATCTTTTCACATTTGGTTACGTAAAGAGAAGAGCTTGGACAGTGGAGGTGAGCATATAACGCGCGTTAGTTAAGGGGCCCCTTAAACCTACACCTGGGTCGCAAGTCTCAGGCACTGTTGAAGCTCCTCTCCTTACAACGATGGACCCGACACCCGCACGGTAAACCGTGAGGTTTTATTTCTTAACGTAGGTTATTAAATAAATAATGAGAAACGCTTTGTATCTTAAACTTGTGGCAAGTATACTGTAAAGTAAAAAATAAACTAATGAATGTATTGATTTTGCTTCCGTCTAACTTTTTTTTTAGAGTTTTTAATTAAATAACATAATCTAACATATTTTTAATTTTTAAAACCTTTATTTAAATTGCCTCATGAGTTTTTAAATAAATATTGTTTATATGAACGTAAAACTATTTTAAACTAATGGTTTTAAATCTCGTCTTTAAAACGTGATTTAAAAAAAGTAGAAAGCTTTAATTTTTTTGACAAATTTATTTTATAACTGAGTAAAAAGAAGAATGTGTTGAATATAAGGATTGAATAATCAGTTTCAGTGTACTCTGCTAGATACATTGAAAGATGTTTTGATGCTGTATGAAAAATAAAAATATTGGAATAAATATAATATTTAGTAAATCATATTTATCGTGGTAGTGTAAGTGGCTAATGGCCGGAAACGCGATATCAGTATCAGGATGTCGCAGATTTTAAACTGTATGAATATAAACGATTTAATCTAAATTATTACAAATAAAATTCGATTAATAGGTACTTAATAATGTAGTGATTTAAAAGATTAAAAATTAAAAATATATGGGTACTCTTTATTTTCTAGAAAGCCTACATTTTATATAGAAATAAATAATTATAAACTCTCGAGACATCAGTAACAAGTCTATGACTTATGAAGTTTATAGTGTATATTTAGATTATGTAATACTTTTTGAAAGTCTTACAATAACCTACATAATATACCAAATAGTTTTCGACGAGTTTTGTATACAAAAATGGAATTTGCATCGTGACGGGGGGACTTTTGGTAAGCATACTGATTGTAAGTGACGAGTTATTTTCGAATATAAATAAAATAATATATATTCAGAATATATTATATCCCCTTTTATAACGAATATATATAATAGATACATTTATAAATATTTCATTTACCATGGTGCTATCTTGTCGTGGTAACGTATTTCATAAAAAAAGTAGGTACAAGTAATAAAGGAATATATACATAATTGTACATATATTCGTAGGCAGATTCAATATATTTTAAAGAAAAAAAAACTAGTTTAAACTTTTAATGAGTGATATTTTAAGTTATAATCACGATAAAACCCATAAGTAGGTGAGATCGTGATGGCGAGGGTTGGTGCGGTGTAATTTGTGAATTCCTGTGGAATGCGCGTCTTCGTAGGACGTGTGTCGGCCGAGGTTGCGGGGTCATCTCGGCCTGCCCGGAGCCCCGCCCTCCTAATTGAGGCTGCCCACGCGAATCATTTTTAAGGATCCATATCGCTCATATGAATATCAAGTTACCGAGAATTGATAAATATACGATAAACACTATTACATTTAACTCAACGCGTCTTTGTATGAAGGTTTTAATAGATTTATATTTTAATGAGATTTATCATTTAAATATGTCATTATTTTTATTCTAATTTCTTCGTTCTTGATGTTTGAATCTTCTTAACTCTACTTGTCTCGTGTCTGTCATTTTAAAATGTATTCCACATTGATACAGCACACACAATAACTTAGCTACAACGAATTGTTAATGACATATGCCTAAACAAACGTAATTTTAGATATCAAAGAAGAGCTTAAATTTTATTTTATGAAAGTCATACATAAATCAAGTTAATATTTTATTTGGAGGTGAAAAGGTTAAGATATTATATATTCTTTTCATCTCAATACTTATGCGATATTTCGCCTATACTTATGAATATAATGACGAGTTATATATAATTAGTTACAAACTGATCTCTCCGATCAGCAATACATAGTAATTATTATCTATTTATTATAAGCTTTATTATACCTTTAAAATTACTTAATATATCACAGCGATTATTGATAAACTATTGAAAGAAAATGATGAGAACAAGAACATTTATTTTTATTTTATTACCATATTCATATTAAAGCATATTTAATAATACTTAAAACAACCAAGTACAAACATATATATGCATTGTGAGATTAGCGTTGCATTCTTTTGAAATTGCATTACTACCACGATAAGGTAATAACCTATGCAAGATTACGTAATGTGCGATCCGGACAGCGTTCTCTGAAATGCGCTTCGGACCTCGCATGAGATTCATTTTTCGCAATTATGATATAGTTTTTACCAAATATATATTCTCCCTCTATTATTTATAATAAATTTATTTAAATTTATGATGTTTAATAATTACTATAAAACAATTAGTTTTGGACTTACAATAACAAACCTCAGCCTGTTTAGATAAATTTAAAAAGTTAATTCTATAATAGTCTTTTGACAGCTAATTTATATCACCTTAGTAAGGGCTAGGTCTTGTCGAACTGAAAATGAATAGTTTTCTTGCTTTTTATTTATAAATCTATACGAATGTGGTCCAACTAGAAACTATAGTAAGCTCAACTTAAGCTTACATCGTTATTGAATGTTAGATGGGGAATGTTTCGAGTGCAGTATAATGCGGACTTATGGTAAGCACTTCGCTTACTTAGACGAGAGTTGTCAACGTTCAGAAGTGTGACAAATTAGTAATACCATATTCGTCACGGCCTCACCGTATTTGCGATATCACGAACGTTCCACTGACCTTAACTACTACGCTTTCAATTATTAACACCTATATTTATATAAAAAGATTCTAAACAGTATATATTTAATGATTTCGCGCTTTTATTTAACGGTTTTATTTTTAATAGTGATTTCTTCGTGTTGAACAAAGATTGTTCTCCGTATTGTAACCCGCGCAATCGTTTTCGTTCCCACGATGCAATTATCGAGCGCCTGCACTTACCCTTAATTTTATCCTGTTTCCTACCAACTTTAAACTGCTCACTATAACGTAATCGCTCCTAATGTTCAAATAATAATGTCCCTTACAAAGTACTATTACAGATTCACGATGTACGTAAACCTAGCAAATTGACCTTAAACAATATTGTAATATAACACAGCTATATTATTATGTATAGAGAAATAATATTTATTGTTATTATCGGTATTTTAAGAAATATCATATCGCGCGCTACGATCTCAAATAGAAATCGGTAATTATCGGTTTCGTATCTAATTCATGGGCGTCACTAACATATAGTCGGACGTCTTCGATTTTTTTAATTTCGTGATAATAGTCTCTGATGCAGAATAATGCCTTTGAGGCGTTCTTGATTTACTTCACTGTTAAACTTCCATTGTATTTTATATTAAGTAGCTTAAAAATTCCGCTCGCCCTGTATTATATAAAATGCCTAGATAAAGTTAAAGATTTTTAAGTCATATGTAACATTGAACGAAACAAGGTGTGTTGAGTAAATCTTCTTCTTCTATATAGGTATATAAAAATGGATTGCTGTTCCTTAGTCTCGCTAAAACTCGAGAACAACTGAACGGATTTATCTTATCTTAGTCTTGAAATGTTCGTGGAGGTTCAGGGAAGGTATAAAAGCTGAAAAAAATTGATTCATTACTGGGAAAACCATAAAAACAGCCCTTTTCTATTTCCCATAAAAACGTTTTTTTGACATTAGATTTGACAACTAACTCATATGTCAATCATTCTGTCGCACTTCAAAACACAGTGATTTATGGCTTACAGGTAAACTCCAAAAATATAAATAAAAAAACGTAATAGATATTTCTTGATTATAGGGCGATACGAAGTTCGCCAGGTCTTCTAGTAGAAAATAAATATACATACATGTCCTACAAAATAACTTAAGAAGAATAAAACTATTATAATACGACTATGAAAATCATATTAGTGTGGTATGCTATAAAGTATTAAGAGTAAAGTCGTATTGAACAGCAATGGCTTCATTGCCGCCAAAGCTTGTTATCTGACAAGGCGTGAAAATACAATTCAATGCGCGGCAGCACGAGCATGTCGACATGTCTGGAATGTGTCCCGAGCTTTAGGAATGTTAAGGATTCACGATTGACGAAAACGTGCGTCTGTTCTACCGTGACGATAGTGTACACCAAAATGTTTTTAATATATTATCTATGGTGTACACGCACCCTTCTGTCATTTAGACACTTGACAGCCACATTCCATTTTCAAATATCATATCTTTTATTGATATAAAAAATGAATCTGCACAAATTTTAATGCCATAATATCGTATATGACCTGTATGTGGCCTGTAACATAAGATTGAAACTCGATCACTTAAACATCAACTGTTGTTAAAATTTCCACATCCTGATTTTGCGGATAGCCAACCGTCTCGTTTACCAGTTTCAAGGAACTCGATGGTTATACGAAGATTAATTTAAAACCAAAAAAACAGGTAATAATATATACAGAAAAAACAATATGTAGACGAAAAAAGATGAAACCGTAATCTAATTAAGAGGTGTGAAGTTATGTTTGGATTTATTATATGTAACACACAGCGAACGTTTGTAACTTGTAAGTATGACAATGAAGCGTTTTGTCTGCTGCAGTCTTTTTTTACAAACAAATGATGTTCAACTTCAAAACATTGAACAGTTTGTATTTCATTTTGTGATAATGAGACCAAACTGAAAATAAACTCGCCTGAAAATCTTTGCAATCACGATTATTATTAAGCAATTTTATAGATAATATCCATGTTTTTAATATAACAGGAATGTAGATCTACATCATCAAAAAAAATTAGGTGAAAATTTTATTTTAAACTGCAACCTCTGGAATATTCCAGTTGAGTTGCTTTCAGTTCTAAATATATTTTTGCAGTTGATTTCATTATTTTCAGATATCTAACATACTGTCATGGAAGAATGCATTTCATGTTCAGAAATGAATTATCCAGATGCGTTATTGTTTTCACTATTTTCATTTACGTTTAAAAACGTTAGGATTGTGTTTTAGTTCGCAAATCAGTATAACAAAAATTATTTCTAATATTGTAAAATAGTCATACATAAATAATAATTATCGTTTAATGAACGTTCTCGAAGACGATCGCGGAGCCCGCTTGTGTCCCGCGGCAGTTGTGGCACACGTCGTGAGAACCTAGCTTTATTAAATGACCGACATGTCACATTGAAGCTACTTTTTATTACGTTTTATTTATATTCTATTATATTTTGTACTCTATTTCTAAAATCTGACGCGTATTTGTAATTTAAGGCTCATTGTTTAGGTTTAATTGTTTAATATAAGTTCAGCAATCGTATTTATCTAGAATTGTTTTTGCAATATATAACTATAGTCTTCAAATAGCTACGCCAAAATAGAGTTTAAATATTCTAAACGCTTTTACTTTCCTTAGTCTACGAGTTTACAACTCGCTAGGTTTGCTCTCAAGATTCAAAACAAAGTTGGATTTATATTTCTTCAGTCGCCGGCGTGAAGTGCTGATGGACGGACTGTTGTTTTCGTTTTACTGACGTGGTTGTGTCACGCGTAATAATTTTTCATTGGTTTGTTGCGTTTAAAAATATAAATAATATAAATTACATTTATTTACGTATTTAATATTTATATAAAGAGTAATAATATTTTTTAATTTGTGAGTTAAGGAAACGAGAAAAAAAAATAATGGTATTTTTCTTTCGAATTTTTTTTATGTTCTAACTTCGTAAGAATTTCAGATAAAATTCTCAATACAATATATATTATATGCAATCATTATTTTGTTTCCTCTTTTAGTTTTTTATTTATTTATGAATACTTACTTTGAATTCCGCTGCGTGACTTATTGCGTGCAAATGGTACTTTGCCGTATGGAAATTAGCGTTTCAGTGAAAAAGTATAGGTTAAGCAAAACATATGCATGAAGTGGTGAAAGTGATATGTGCGATGTGTTGACTGTGTTTTAAATAAAGTAATTTTTACAGGAATTACAATCAAAGGTCAAGGACCAAGACAGCAAGAAGTAGAAGCAAGACAGTGTGAGAATCAAGATACATTCAGAACGGTAAGAAGTATAGAATATTATTAATATATTTATAATACTTATCACGTTTCGAACAAATAATATTAAGAATATTTCTTACTATAATTTTAGCTAGACAATTTTTTATCGTTTTTCGATATCGTTGTTTTAAAAATTTAAAGTAAAGACGTGAAAAAGGAAGTTAATGAAGAAAACAGAACTGAATCGGATTTTCAGTTTTGATAATGTATTGCCCAAGAAACGTTTTATTTTAGAATACAGAAAATATAAGCTTTCTGTTATAAAAAGAGAAAATAAATTAAAATTTCTCCTCCTCATTTTATGTAGTACCTACTGAGGTAGAAGTATATTGATATAAAGAATATATTAGTGTATATAAATTTTAAGTTATAAATATTAAAATGATTTGTAATCATACAAAAAACTTAAAGGCTTTACTTAATTATTTTGTTTATATACTCCTAAGCCGTAATTTAATATTCAATGAGTTAATAAAGGAGGAGAAAAAAATATTGTATGTACTTTTAATTTTTATTTAAAATTTAATACGTAACAAGGAATAAATTAGTTTCTAATAAATGCTCATAATTATCTTATTTCAGGATCTAGCTGCGTGTGAAGCGTTAGACTTATTAGCCAATTGCAAGATCAGCGATATTGATGACGTCCCTTCTGAAGGGGAGTACGCTGAAATAGATGAAATGGGTGTTTGGCATTCAACGCTAGCACAGAAACACAAGTCAAAAGTATCACTTACATGGATACTGAAAGATATAGACAAAACAGAAGTACCGAAAACAAACAATTATGAAAGACCAATAAAACAAATTAATCAAAACAAAAAAGCAATCAAAGAAAAAGGACGTAATGATTATAATCGTGATCTGAGATTCAAAACGGCTTGTGAGGAGTTCGCTAACATTGAGGACTCGTGTTCTGACACGAGCGTCGCCACAGAAGAATACAAGAAGAAACACAGGCACAGACACAGACGACGGAAGAAAAGATTTGGATATGACATACGAGATTTGGATACGTTCCTCACTGAGGTATGTTGTATATCAATTAAATCTTGAAAGAAATACCATATCCATCAATTCTTTATTCTTAACTCCGTAAAGAAAATATTACTTATAGCTTTTCGATTGTATCCTTTGAAGGTTTTAAAATAAAAATATGATTACAGCCGCCCGCTTAAGAGAAATAATTAAGTATTTTTCATTTTTAAATATTATGATCCAAGCAAAGAGCCGTTCATCATCCTGTTTCGGATATGACGCGTAAGATCGACAACAAAAAGTATTAAGGCTGAATAATTAGTTTCATAAACCGCCATACATTGTTTTCGTATTGCTCTCAAATAATGAAATATATGGATTAAATATTTTTATGTAACTTTACTTAACAAGATTTCGTTCATTTAAATAAATCGAGACTTTATAAAGGTTCTTAAAGCAATGTGACAGTTAATATTATTTAACTTTTGGGTATTACTATACGAAACGTAAAGTACGGATCAAATTAAACTTACGGATAAAAAAACCTTCCCTTCTTTACCACAATTTAATAACATTAATTACTATAACACTTTGTTTTTGTTTTTGATATGATTCCTATAATAATCACAATGAAGCTCTCTTTAAATTTTGGTTAATATTTAACGACACGTTATGTAAACCTAGATGCAGTTATATTTAGAAATTCGTATATTACATAACAAGCTTCAATTAGTAAAGGTTTGGACCAAAATTCACTGTTCAATTAAATTTTTACGGTATAAAATGTATGTCAAGACACGTTTCTCTTTCACCGTACATTCAGGCAAGTTAATTAATTGCTCATGCCAATTTTATTAGGGACGATAGTTGTAAGAAAAATTGTTGAATGGTTTTTGGAAGAACTTTTCGGTGAAATACATTGATATATTCAAAATATATCCATTACTAAGGGGCCCTTATGAAGGACTTGTAGGAAAGTTGAACTAATCCTATGCTTCTATTTAAACAATTATTTTCGATATTTTCATTATAAGTACAGATGGTCAAACAATCCCATATCAGTACTCATGCTTTTAAATTACCTAACTGTGGGAAGCTAATAATAATCATCAAATCAATTGAATAGAATATGTGTTTAATAACATTAGTAAATAGACAAAGTTTTTATAAACTTTGATATAGAAATCTGTTATTTAGGGACAAACTTTGAATTATTCAAAATAAATAATGATTATCCTAATTTAGAATTTTCCGATCTCTTGCTTACTCAGAACGAAACTAGCATTTTAAGTTCAGTTCATAACAATATTAGATTGATATTTAGATTGATATTTAGTAATTGATATTTAATTGTAACTTATTTTAAATCCCATTAAAATATTCCGTACCTTATAAAAACCAAATATTTCAGGCTACAATCGATCGTCCCGGCAACATACCCGTAGTAATAGCATTTCCCACTACCTTGTACCAAACACAGAAGGAACTACAACGTGAGCTGACCCTGCCTCTCGGTACGGTGGTCAACGCGGTGTTTAAAAACCAGCAGTGGTTGTACACACAAACACCTCACGGAGATGAAGGCTACGTCATGTACAGTGCCTGTCTGCCGCTAGGAATATTGCCGAGACGGTAAAAACAAATTGCAAACAGTAATATCATTTACGATAATTTAAATGAAACAAATTATTTTTCGGATATACTATGCGGTTTATTTTTGTGAAAAACTATATTCTCCCGACGTTTCGGCAACTTTTTAGCAACTGTGATTACAAGCAGACGAAATCACGGTTACTGAAAAGTAGCCGAAACGTCGGGAGTAAATACATATGTAGTTTTTCACAAAAATAAACCGCTTAGTATATCAGACAAATATTAGTTTTCTTTAAATTAATAAAACTTGCGAAAGTCTTAGATCTCAACATTTACTATAACTTACTAACTTTATTTTATTTTACAGATCATCGCTACAAAAGAAGGCGCCATGTTGGGAAAGCAGCACAGATATTTATCCAAAACCGTGCGGTAATCTGACAGACAACGAAAAGGAACAGCTAAGAGGAAGAACGCGTTCAGAAAGCAGATATCGTCACAAAACAAAAAGACATAAGTCATGTGCTGAAAAGAATTTTGATAATCTATACTTAAGGACCATATCATGTTCTAATTTACATGATAAAGAAAATAGGAAGGAAACGCGAAGACAGACATTACTGGTGATTAATAGTGCGTACACGGGGAGTTACTACAATAGGACGCTAACAGTGAATAAGGGTGAAGTAGTGGTGTTGATGGATAGAGAGACTGATGTGGACTTGGAGTGGTTTTATGTGAAGAAGAGGGATGGAAGCGAAGGTTTCATACCGGCTGCCATAGCTGGGCATGGGTATATTTAGTGCTAACTATTTGATAATGATACAATCGTATTTTGCTGTCATATATTATGTTAAGAAAGACTAATAAATATGAAACACGTTGTAGATATTAGAAATAAAACGTGCATTGGTTCGAATTACGAGTGTCAAAGCATTTTTAAAAAAATCTATTTTAAGCATTTGTCTACGCTATGTAAAATTAAATGAATAATATTCCCCATACATTCATTATTATAATATTTCTCGCTACCTAATTATTATATTAGATAAAAAATTAGTTACGTGTATAAAAATAATCCGTTATTGCATTTATTATTTGTATAAAGTTATATTTTTATTTATTTCACATAGGTTTAAGTACAAGTCACTACAGTTAAATAACTGTCTCTATGTCAACGTAATTATACATCGGCAGAGCTTCCGCGATCGCAGGCTATTAACGACTATTATTATTACAAAGTCATGTAAAGATTTCTTCCTGTTATACTGCCGTAGCCAATAATATATTTAAATAAAAAAATCTAAGTAGCATTTATCTTCTACCAAATTTTCATGTATCATATAAAAAATATTAATGATAGTATATACATGTATTAATATATATGTACATTAAATATACATAAAGGAATTAAATACATTGTTCTCTATATCTCAATTATTTTATTAATGCCATAACATTGACATAATTCATTAGAATCTCACTGGCTTACCGGCTAGTAACTAAACTATGAAAGAGGTGATACACCACAATATGTAAATAAAATACTTAGCTTAATGGGATCTTTTATTACTCTTAAACAAACAAATGAACAGATACATCATCTGAAATGCAAAACTTGATCTCTATAGTTGAATGTGGTACACAAGTCAATTTCAGGGCTGGAACCAGCTATTGTAAGAACTTTATGTGGGCTGGTTCTCAAAACTGCGGAGTATACTGTGGTAGATGACACTGGCAGTTCAACTCTTATATCTCCGGAGTAGCTTAGCTGATATAAATGCTTGGCAGCCCCGCCAGCAAACACACAGTCATCATGGAAAAAGGACACATGTATTCCATGATCGGGAATATCAAACACTGTAACAGCATCCAATGAGCGTAGATGCCAAAGAGCTAATCTCGGACCACCTCCACATACCTGCAAGATCACTTTAAATGTAAAATAGTGTCTATTACATGTACAAATATTGTTAATTTATTTACTACTCGCTTTCCGTCTGCAGATTCGCCCGCGTGGTGTTCGGATATATCGTGTTTCCAAGAGAACCTTTCAAAAGTCTGGGATAAAAACTATCCTATGTTTTTTGTCAAGGTCAACTCTATGTCTGTGCCAAATTTCATTAAAATCAGTTCAGCGGTTTAGGCGGTGAAAGCGTAACAGACAGTCAGACGGACAGAGTTACTTTCGTTTTTATGATAGTAGGGAAGTAGGGTTTTTCATTAGTCATATATAGTTGTTCTAGAAATTTGGAACAATATTTCTATGAATAAAACAAATTTTTCGCATTACTACGCGTTTTGGTTACTTTGCAGCAACATTAGAGTACATATTGTAAAAATAATAAAATACGCATACTGATCCGTAAAATTTTTATATAATTTAAATCAGTGTTTTTGAATCTTTTTGATATTTACGGGTCGAAAAATTTTGGAGACCCTCTTGTACCATAGACAGGCAAGGAAGTTCTTCAATTAAAAGTCTAAAGACATATTAAAGTTAAAGACATTCTCTGCAATGGTGGACATCAAAACAAAAAGGAGAAATAAACTTCAATTACAAGCTGATTTGATAGATAATACTTCAAAAAAAAGTACTACAATTTGACATGCTTTTGGATAATAAACAAGCCCATACTTCTCATTAAAATTTGGTTTTTATTGTAGTGTAGAACTTAACTTTTTTCTTTTTGCCGACAACTCTCCAGATAAGTCTTTTTGACCCCCTAGGGGTCACAAGTCACAACCCACAGTTTGAAAAACACTGATTTAAATGAATACTTAGGAAAATTTTAGATCTCATTTTAATATTTCTATGACTTAAGCATGCAGTAGAAACTCGATTATCCGGCCCTCAGTTATACGGATTCGCGACTATTTGGACTATGGAGTATGGACAAGTCCAGACAAGAAAGAATGGTAAAGCGTAAGAGAGTGGTGTTGTTGAGAGTGGCGTACGTCAAATGACAATTACCAAATATTCTAAACCAAATTAAACTTATTTTTTTCATTTCATGATTAAAATCTGGAGTTTTTAGTACATACATATGTATTTATGTATATGTAATCTAAGAAAATGTATCCTTTAATTATTTATTAATAAGCATTGATCTTCGTTGATATGTATTTGTTACTTTTTTTAAATAAACTACATATGCACAAAACTAGTTTTTTTCATTCATTTGATTATCCGGATTTTCGATTACCCAAATGCATATTGACAACAATTAGTCCGGTTAATCGAGTTTCTACTGTATATATGTATAATAAATATTATTGTCTTAATATTCACAATCCAATCATCTCCCAAAGCAGCGGCTCCCATCCATTTTCCAATATCTGGTCTTGCCACCTTACTGTTATTGTAGGGTTCAATTTTGTTATGACTTTTTTTCGTTCTCGTGTCCCAAAGAAGGACCTTGCCATCCTCGCCAGCAGATATTAATTGATTTCCACTGTGATAGATTAAGGTTTAAAAAAGTTATAATTAATATCTCTCATATAAAACTTATCAAAATATTTTTAATATTTTATTCCCATGGGTAAAAAACAAAGGATTATTGAATACCAAACAAGAGTTCATCGGTTTTTTTATATGATTTCAGTAAAAATTTTCAAGATTTCCAATTTTATAAACATGTTTCCAAGTATGTAATACTTACTTGCCATGTAAGCAATGTATATAATCTTCATGCCCTTCCAACTTAGACATAAGTCTACCATCTTCTAAATTGTATATGTAAATATTATTGTCACCACACCCCGCATATAGTTTTCCCTCTTCTTCCGAATACCACAGATAATTAATATCGCATTTCTCAATCACAGACTTAGGCTGTATCCTTATTGTCCATGCAGGTTTGCCTAATTTAGGATGTATTACCGATTTCCAATTCCATCCCAATATCTCATTTACTGAGCCAACAATTAAAAAATTCTCTGTGCTCACTAAACTACACACTTGATTCTCTGATTCCAAGGTATGAATGTGTTTTGGTTTATTATAATCTGGAGTAAGTAGTTCTATCACAGGATTAAATATGTTATCGAGACTGAAAAAGAATTAGTTCTTTTAGAAATCATATAAAAATATACACATTTTTGAGCAAAGCATTATGCATTAAAAATTCTTACTCAAACACTGCTAGTTGTCCATAAATATTACCGGCTACTAAATATTTACCACACGGAGAAAATGTTTGGCATAAAACCGTGTTGTAAAATATCTTATCAAGCATTTTCTGTTTTATACTATACCGTGTAACAAATTAGTTATGGTTGTTACAATACAATTTTCAAAAGAAATTGAATTTAAGTTAAACCAAACAAACTTACTAATGCACGTTGACATTTGACAATTAAATCACCGAGGAGTAATAATTGGATACACATTTTAAATCTCATCTTGACATTTGTTTCTTTATTTTTAATTATTAATTTCAATAAGAACATTTACAATGAGACTTCTAAAATATAATTAGTTAAAATAAATAATTTTTATCAATGTGATTACTACTAAAACTACTATTCTTGAAAATTTATACATATGTGTCTATAGATAGCCATAGACTAAAAAGTCAATGGAAGTTTGAGGACGCAAAAATCAAAACCTTTCAGCAAAGATGGACGTGTAATATAAGTGTAAAAATTAATAGAACCATTGCTATTGGTAAAGTATTAATAGTTTGACCTAATTTCATTTAATAGTTGTATACATACTTATTATTACTGTAAAGTTGCAAATAATACAGCACAATTTTACGTCCACGTAATAAATTGCACCTTGTTGCAGCATTTTACGATTGATTTTATACGTTTTAGGTTGATATTAAATATCAAAATGTACAATGGAATTGGCTTAACAACACCGAGAGGATCCGGAACGAACGGATATGTTCAAAGAAACTGGGCATCAGTGAGGAAAACTAAAGATTCTGTGAATTACCGGACTGAGGAAGAGATATCGAAATTGGACTCCGCTTCTAATAAACAACCGAACCAGGAAATATTAGATCATGAAAGAAAAAGGAAAATAGAAGTAAAATGTGCGGAATTAGAGGATTCCCTCGAAGAACAGGGGTGAGTGTTTGTTTTTTAAAAATCTTTTACGGTAACTCAAATATAACCTTTAATTACTACAACAACCATGCAGCGATAAATTATAAAACTTATTTCGCCTAATATAAAATAAATTGAAATTCTTTTCCTTTATGAATTTCTTTGATTTTCCAATACTGTTAATAGGCTGTATTTAAATTATTACGTTTTCTGTTTTTGTAACAGAGTGCGTAAATAACATAGTGGGACAAGCTCCGATTTAAAAAATTAACTATAGATGAGAGAGTCTTTATTGATTGGCTTTATATCACTATATTTTTTAAAACTCATTTTTAAATTAAAATTAATTGTGAAAATTTAGAATAAAAGAATATTGATACAAGCAGGGTTCAAATACGCAAAATCTGAAATATTGAATTCCAATTGATTTCAAAATTAGGCTGTTGTATCACAATCATGGCAGGTTTTAGGCAACCGATCCTTGTATAATTATCAATTTGTATGACATTTTGTTCCAAAAATATTTTAATAAATAAATATAAGTAATTAAATGGATATAGAGTATATAGATTTTACATAAAAATTCAATGTATTTTTCAAAGATAGTTGTCAATTCAAAATGAGTTGACATAAAGTTATTAAGTATAATTAAATTAAATAATTGTCAAGTAATGTGAATATTATATATCTTTAAATCTATTTAGACTATAGAAACATTAAAATTGGTTTCAATTAATTACGCCATTTAATAACTAATGAATTTGTATATATCTGGGGCATGATAATGCTCCCTACCATTATGAACAAGGCAAACCATCACAGCCATACAGTTTTCTTTAATCAGTTCGGGCCATTTTTGAGCCCTTATAACTTTGTTGTGGATTAGAATAGAATATTTTATTTAGGATTTATAAAGATTTATCAATACAAATATAATTATAATATCTGTTTGTTATATTAAAAATAGTTTTTGATTGGATGCATTTGGATGTATAGATACATAGAGTTAATATATTTTTGATATTTTTGTCCGTCTGTTTGTTGCATCTTATGTCTGAAACAGCTAAACGGATTGTAATGGGAATTTAAGTTGCAGATAAATAACAAAAACATTAACTTGAGCTATTTTTCTTTTAAATTGATGAGGTAATCAATATAAATAATAAAAAATATGTATATTTCATGCTTAAAGTTGTGGGTGCAGGTAGTTCTATACACGAGTAATTTCATTTACTTTATACATCTCACCAAAGTCTTTTGATTCTTTGCAATAAACTCTTTTCACTGTTAAACAAATTCTTTAAAGAATGTTGTCAGAATTATTATAAATACCTTAAGTAATCTAAATTTCATATTTTTAGAAAAGTATTTGGATAAAAATAGAAATTCTGAAATAATAACTTTATATTGAGATAGTAATGAGAGGTTTTTCATTTGACTTTAGATTTAAAAGCATTAAGTCTAGTAGTCATGAATTAAATTTTAGATGGAATTAAATTTATGTACAATTTCTTTTGACTGAAAATTTCAATACCATGTTTACTATGTACAGTTGTATTTAAGTGAAAATTGAATGGAATTCTTTATTTATTAATTAAGCTAATTATACCTATATATGTATAATTTTATATAATATAGTCGTTTAAGTCAATACATTTGAATGAGACAGGACATATTTTGTCTTTCAATACTCTCAGTTTTTATTTTCCAACATAATATTTCTTTCTAACCACCTATTGATAAAGTTTGTTATATAAAACATACCTTATGAAAATTAGTCACATTAAAGGTTTCAGAAATAAGATTTATTAAATGAAAAAGGCTTTCTCATAAAATATAATATTATTGAAATGAATCTTTCCTTTCCCTCGGATATCCTGCATTACATATAAGTATGTTTTAATATAAAATGTTTAAAGTGTACTCTAAATTATAATATGTCTGTCTTCATTTTGCCAAATACTCGTATACTTTGGAGTTTGCATATTTATTAATATAAAATAATTATAATTTAATTATACAAATCTTATTGAACTACTAAAAATGCACCCTTGACTATCGTTCACTAAGGGAGGTAATTCATGTCGAACAATATGTACATTATGTCGCCACCCCCTCAGTTCGTCAACCCCTGCGCGTGCGCAACTATCGATTTCCCTTTTACAACGTTCAGTTAAGTTTAGTACGCGAACGAGTGTTATCGCGTTATTTTTATTGTTTCAAAGTAATTTCGTGATTACGACACATCCATGCATTGGTAGGTTTATATTTGTGAGTTACGTGTTTATATTGAGACTACATTACGCCGGCGGCCGCGTGGCGAGCGACACCTTGTATCATATATAATGAGTGTTTCTTTGGTTTGGTTGCGCAGGTTGCCCAAGGAGGAAATCGCTGCCAGAGTAGCTGCTTTCAGAGCTAAGCTGTCGGAAACGGGAGGAACTGATAAAGATTTACCTAAGGATGAATATGGCAGAGTCGCGTGAGTATGATTTTGTGTAATATGATTATTTACTTTGAGTATATGTACGTATAATTTAGTCTTTTAATAAATGTGGTTTTATTTTTTACTTTAAATATTAAAGTGTATAACTTTTTTATTTTATGTATTTATTAATTATTAATAGTGCTCACTAAGTTTTATTAAAATATATATTTCTTTCTCTTGATTTCTATCAAATGCTGCAATAAATGTAATTAATATTGTTTTTAATGATTATGGGTTAATTGATTTTTAGTTCGCGTGTATTGTGTTTATTTAACGTTCTAAGAATGTCGTAATTAAATTTTCTCGTCAATTGGGTTTTCGTACCGATAAAAACGAGTTATCTTCGCTTAGGTTTAACTCTAAAAAGTAGAAAAAAATACTATTTTTTTTGTAATTTTATTAGAAATACCTTAATTTATAATATAATTATCACTAAATTAAGCGAAAAACAGACCTTAGGTATAAAAGATAAGTTCACAACACTTAGGTAAATGTAATAAAAATGTTCGTCGTAAAACTTGCACACTATCGAGCTGTTTTGTCGAGTAATACATGAGTAGGTTCAATTTTACAACAAAGAAAATACTTAAATAATTAACTATAATCACCACATACAGTCGCTGTTGATATATCTATCTAAATATAGCTAAATATAGTATGTAAGACATACATATTACACGATTTAAAAAATAGTTTTTTCATATTTTTAATTTACATTTTTATACGACGTTTCGTTTACTTATCACTTAACACGATCAAGCCACACTAAAAACCTTTTCATGAAATTAGCATTTTTTCCTTATCGAGTCCTAGTTCTATTTAAAATTAAATATATGTTACTCAGTACAAACTTTTATCACAGACTAGTAAACCCGGTGAACTCCGTTTCGCCACCATACGGCTTTGTTTTATGTAACATAATTTCTCCCGTTTTTTACACATTTACCACTATATCTTTGATCCTATTGGTCGTAGCGTGATGTTATATAGTCTACAGCCTTCCTCGATAACTGGACTATCCAACACAAAAATAATTATTCAGTAGTAGCAGTAGTTTCGGAGATTAGCGCGTTCAAACAAACAAACTCTTCAGCTTTATAATATTAGTATAGATGTTATTGATATTCTTACTCCAGCGAGTTCAAAGCCCAGTAAGCTTAAGGGTCAATAGTAACACCGTGATTCAGAGGGTCCTGTATCGATCGCGCTCACCCCAACCCCTGAATAGGCGGCTTTTTAATATTCTATCATGATACTCGATTGCTTTACATTACACCCTACGTACAATGGGGGTAAAGTCACCCGCGTAGATATGATGCAAGCGAAGCAAATTTGAGCATACGAGAAGTGATAAAAAATGTAAACAATCTTTGAAATACTGACAAATTTATAAATTGTTATAAAATGTACTTCACAATTTGTACTTTCAATTTTTATTTTTCCAACAAAATATTAAGTTTCTATGTATTAATAAAGATCCTAAATTATATTTTTCATGTTTCAATATACTTATTAGTTTTGTAATATAAAATGATTAAACGGTTACGCGAGAATGGGTCTTACTGAAATTTCATATAGAATTTCCATAATTTAATATTTTCATGTCCTTGGCCTTTATCATAATTATTCGGGTCATGATGTCATCGTCTATTTTTTGGTCGTACTAAGATTAATCAAATTATTAGCATAACACAAATTAAGGAAGACGTAACTGAATTTCTTTCTAACATTTCACTTTCAAATTCCAGTCACGTTTTCGTTTTATACAATAAAAGACATTCAATTATGAAAATGTCACAAACCGCGTTATACAAATGGAGTGTCGTCTTGATGTTGATTATTTTTGGCACGGTCGGCTCTTTGGCTTTTGAGTAATTAAAATACACTTTGATCGAGCGTCTCCTTTAATTATGAAAGGTGACTTTTCTTAAGTCACCGTCACGTTTCTGAGAGTCACTTGTAAGAGGTCGAGAGTTCGCGAGAGCTGACCCATTTCTATCCATATCATAGCTATGAAAATGTTGTTGAAAACACGCAAATTAAATGACATTTATGTTGTATATTAAGTAAATCATGAGAAGTATTTTAATTCATTCCCTCCTTAGTAAATTTCACTCACACTTTATTAATCCCTACTAATATATAAAATGCGAAAGTAACTCTATCTGTCTGTCTATCTGTTACGCTTTCACGCCTAAACCACTAAACTGATTTTAATGAAATTTGCTACAAACATAGAGTTGACTTTGAGAAAGAACATAGGATAGTTTTTATCCCAGAATTTTGAAAAGTTCTCTTGGAAACGCGATATAACCGAACTCCACGCGGGCGAAGCTGCGGGTGGAAAGCTATGTAGTATATATTTTATACTAATAAATATTGTTCTATGTGAAAACTGTTTTTCTTATTCACTGTACTTGTACATAGTTTGAAGCCATCAACAACGTTCTGTAATAAATCATTGTGTAACATTTCAACGTCTGTTTAAATTTATTTCGACCAAATGTAATTTATTTATCGTCGATCGTTACCGACTTACTAACTTCTAATCTTATTTATAACATTTTCAGTCTTACAAACTAGCTCTCTTACAACTGTTAGCAGAAGTTAATAGCTATTAATTTCTGCTAATTTATGACGTTGGTGGGTATATATAAATATATTTATTTTGGCCTTCATCCGTGAAAAAACATGTTCTATATTCTACCAATGTTAATGAAGTTATAACCAAAGATTTTCTTGTAAAAAAGTAGTTTAAATTTCTTTTATCGTATGTCTTTGATACTCCATAATTGTATAGATCATTTAACAGAATGCTTACATTAACGTTTCGTATTATATTTCATTAAGGTGTTCATTTCGTTACCGCCCAGCGCCGCTCCCGAATCATTAAATTTAAAGAGCCTCGTTATTTGATAAATTAGAGTATTTTTCTGTAAAAATACTATAAAAAAATAGTATCCACTTTGAAACTCCTTGTGATTATTTTGAGACTTTTGATATACATTAAAAGAAAAATTACGTATTTTTTTATTTTAGCTCTTTTTAATCTAAGCGATATTATTGTCTTAAAAAGAACTAATCCGTAATTTTCTACGCTTATCGCGGTTAAAGAATCTATCATAATTTACTATAAATAAAATTACATTAATCATATTTTAATCTAAGATTTAAAATGGAATTCTCGTAACGTGTAAGTAGTGTTTTGATTTATTTTCTGGTAGAGTAATTAACGCGTCTCGCTCCGTGCCAAAAACGCCACACCGTACCACATGCGATGCATTAGATTTTGGCAGCAGTGTGTATCAATTACGACATAATGTAACAAAACAATTATTCTTGAACTACTTGACATATAAATCTAAGGTAAAATATATATTATTGGGTAATATCGTCGGGGATGGTGCAAATCCGCGTAACTACCGTTGGATAATTCCGCGTATCTACATTGGAAGCAGATTATCAGAAGAAAGTTTGAGCTGAAATATTTTCTATATTAATGAGTTTTAAGGTATTTTTTTCACAATTAGTAATTATTATTTAGTGTTTAATTTATTACTTAGTATTTAGTTACTCAGTAGGTAGGTGAACTAGCAGTCTAGCCCTATCCCCGACGATATTAATTTTTAATGAAGGTAAAATATAATTTAAAAACCAAATTTCTAATTAGACTAGGATAGTTACATTCTTCATTGTAGATTTTGGTGGTTAAATAGGATAATACGGCGCTACTATGTAAAATGTTTGAAAATAGGGTTTAGCGTTAAACTCAGTACTTTTATAAGGCTGCCGGATTAAATACTTTATTTATAGATCAACTATTAATACATTGGTCATGATTTCTTTTCATTACTACTGTTTGTATGTGAAAAATACGATCAAAAAACGAAACAAAGAAAACCATCTGTGTCAATTTCAACTTTTCTTTTATAGATTTTCTTCAAAAGAAAATATTAAAAAAAAAACAATTTATTAAAACCAAAAAAAAACTTTTATCTCTTAAATATAATTCGCAAAAAATTAATATTTTGTTGAAGTGGCTTAAATAACGGAATAAAATATAAAAGTCAACGTTAATTTTATAAAAATTCAAAGAATCTCGCAGCTGACTTAATATATCAAAAGATAATGATTGGAGGATTCGACTGATATAAAAACAGACTACGTCTCTCCCACATACACGTATTAAAAACTTAAATATATAATATAAATGGAGCAATCACGCCTATAAAGTATGTTAGAGATTTAATTTCTAGATATATTGGTATTTTAAAACTTAAATTTTTGACGTTACCTGGATTAGGGGATTTATTTATGTTGTGTTTAAAAAAGTCGTTTTCTTTGTCCGCATTAATTTCGGAATATGTATAGCTGACTGGATGAATTCTATTCCGCCCTGGAGACCATACATAACAACATATTGGAATTTATTCAGATTTTTTTCTTTTTCAATCAAACAGAATAAAAATTCTATGTCCGTTCTAAGCTATCTAACCGCCAATTTTGAACCATATCCCAACAGCTGTTTTAGCGTAATAAATAACACAACTGTATTTTATCCAAATATATAGATAAAAGATAAATGTCCCTTGAATTAATACAGGCTAGGAATATATCTTAAGTTCTAGTTAAGTGCTAGTTTAACAATTAACTATTTCCATGAAACAATTATGTATGAATCAAAATAACATGAAGATAAACATTACGTAATTTGCAAAATTCTAAAAATCTCAAATGCGTATGTACATATTTTGTGGGTCCCATAGTTTATAGTAATAAAACTGCTGTATAAAGCACAAGTTGCAAACGTAATTAAAAATTTATCGGAATACAAATTGATATGTCGATTTGAAAACCGTGTCCAATTGTATGTACGGCTAGGAACGGATTTCTTATCAATTCATGATAATGCTATTAAATTTACCATCAATAAAGGCTTTTATTGATTTCCATCGACTCTACTATATAATGTATCGTAATAATACATTACACGAGGCTCAAAGGGGTGTTCATAAGTTGTGTTACAATTTCGCTCCAGTCATTAAATCTTCAAAGCCGGGATATCCCTTTGTAAGTGGAATGTTTGCGCAGGGTGCGCGCGTCGCGTGCTTCCTGTGTCGTCAGTAGCGCCGCCGGGCCGCCGCCGGCCGGACTACGATGTAATCCAACGCCCCACGCCTTGCTTGTCTTCCATTAGAATAATTAGTTTTAAGAAACCAAGTCTTCCATAGGTTAAGTTAGATAAGTTAATTTATGATGCAACGTGGTAGAGCGTCGCGTCGCGAACAAAACAATCGCGTTGTATTCGAGCGGCTATGGCGGGGTACTTTCCAAGCGGTGCTCGCGGGTCCTCAGCGCCGGCCCCGAGCCTCCTCCCACGATCCCAATCACAATATATCGATCGAACCCGTACAGAGCACGTCTTCTATAACCGACCCGCTAGAACCAGCTATACGGACCCTCCTACAAGAACTCAGAAGTTGCTGTTGTAGATGTAATTGCAACAACTATAGAAACAACGTAAACAGCAATTTTCAGGTCTGTCTCCCAAATGACGAGGAGAGGAAAATGCGCTCCGTCATCAGGTCTGCTTCCAATTAATGTACATTAACAAATACAAAACTGTTAACTTGATAGAAACGAATTTATAACCTACACGTACTAATTGGATTATAAACGATAACACGCCCGTTATTCTAGTTACGTAAAATGTAGCAAGCATGTAGCAAGCATTGATTTATTTCGATCATATATTAAACAATTGTGTATGGTATCAATCGTATTAATTTGCGATTTCCCTATTTTTAGCGCACTTAGGTGCATTGCAGGTAAATATGATAACGCAGTCGTAACAGAACCGTTGTGATTTATGAGATAAATTAGTTCTGCCATGTTAAAACTAATGTGAATTGCAGTGTTCGAGAGACCCATGCGGTGGCTGAGGCGCAACAGGAGAAAAATGCTCGTCTTAGGGACGCCTTTGGTATATCGCCGAGGTTCGTGGAGGGGACGAGTTTGGACCCCGAGAGACGAGCTAGGGAGGAGGCCCTCAAGTACCCCCCCAGTGAGGACCCCGAGCCACGAGAGAGATGTTCACATCACTAAGAAGAAGAAGAAGAGAAGGTAACATATACAGAGACGAAACATCTCAGCATTCTATGTATTCACCGTGCGTGTGTCGGGTCCATCGTTGTAGTGAGAGGAGCTTCAACAGTGACTGGGACTTGCGACCCAGGTGTAGGTTTAAGGGACCACTATCTAACGCGCGTTATACGCTCACCTCAACTGTCCAAGCTCCTCTCCCTACTGTATATCAGATAATGGAGAGTAATTTTATTCATGTCCATTGAAATTTTCTTCTAGGAGAAAATTAACTGTTGTATTTGGAAAGTAAAACTTTTTCAATGTCTATTAGTATTTCACCAGTTAAAGCATTGAATTTAGAATAGATATATTAATCAACTGTCGTCATATCTATTAGTTCAATTAATACATTGGGGAACTATTACAGCATTAAATTTAGAATAGATATATTAATCAATTTTAATGTAATGATTTTAGAAACAAATACTTTTTTATATACATTAGAACATATTTGCTCACTCACTAAATCAATACAAAGTATGAAAATTGTATTGAATTGTTCGTATTCTAATTCCAGCACGTCGCCCGAAGCTAAAAAATCAAAGAAGAAAAAGTCCAAGAAGAACAAAAAAGAGAAGTAAGTACAAATATTAACGAGCTAATAATATTACTATGTGTTATTAATATAATATTTAAACTCAGACAGGTGTCGCTACAGTTACCTAAGAGGCAAGTAATAATAACTATAACGATCATACAATAATTTTAATATATAGAAATGTAAATGAAAAATATATTTAAACAATTTCAGTTTGAGAAAAATGTTGCGGAATTTCATCCGTAGGTATGGTATATGTAAAAAGATATAATAACAGAATTATATAAAATAAGTAAATTGTGAACAAATATGTTGTCTAAAAATATAGTATGGAAATATGTTTGAACTGATTTTGCTTAATACATATATGTCTCACTTCAATTTAAGTTTTTTATACAGCATATAATAAATCTTTTTCATTCACGGTAATGTACGTATAATAATTGGATACGTCGATCGTATTATATCATTAAGCGAGCGAGGTCGCGTTAAACAGCTTAGCTAGCTCATCTAGTATTTCAATAAGCCAATGTCGAATGGCATTTAAGTACAGTGATCACAGCTGAAACAGTTGCGTCCCCTAATTAACATTTACACATAATGATAGTTAAATAAAAATGTTTTTTCAAATAAAACTTGTGTGTCATATTGATTTATTATAAATACATTTTACATCACTAGTAATGTATTATAATAGAATAGCGACAAGCTGTACACACATCAGCCGTTGCCTAATAATTATTTTGAATAATTGGGTTTTTGAAAAAAAAAAAAGTGTTGATTTTTTTTATGTATTTTAAAACTTTATTATTAATTATATTGGATTTTTAATGCAAAAAACTTGAAATATATTTTTTAAATTAATTATAAACAATTAAAAATTGATAAAATTCAAAAATATATCACGTGACTGTAAACGCGCCATGATTGGTCAGCATACTTGTGACGTCATAATGTTAAAGCAATTTCATAATAGTACAGTGTTTATGGCTATTATCTTTAACTTGATAAAAATATCTCAAATTTATTAGTGAAAAACGATTTGAAAAGTTTATTTCCACTAACTATGTGTGATAAAGGATTTATAAAAGCAAAATCGGATAATATTCCTGATGTTAATATATTTTTATGATAACTAATTTTTTAAAAAGTGCGGTTTAATTTTGCTGAAGTTCGAGGTGCTAAGACATCAAGGTAAGTCTGTCAAAAAATACTATTCTAAATGAAAATTAGTATTTATTCTCTATTAAATATAATTAATAATTATTTCATTAAATCATTATTAATAAAATGTTATTATAACATTATAAAAAAACCAAAATAACATATATGTACTTTAAAAATTTAAATGTAGTCTGATACAGAACCTAGAATGTTATAAAATTATGAAAATATCTATTAATTGAAGTCCAATTATTAGACAAACATATATATAGATTTACTATTTAATCGCTTTGAATTATCAATTAAAATTTTTTAATGCTACGATTCTAAAGGTTATGATTTGGAGCCCAGGTAAAAAAAATAATTATTGAACTATACTTATTCGATTTATACACTTAGATAAATAATAATTAATAACAATACTATTATGAAAACTTACAACGAAATGATCTTCACAACAAAAAAAAAAAATGATTTTGTTTTTGAATAATCTCGATGCACTGCTTGAAACCATTTCTTTCGACGTTTTTCGTCTTGTGGAACATTTAAAAACATTTTTTCAGGAGTTGTTTTTGTAGTCTTTGTACATAATGGTACAAAACTTTTGATTATTTAACAATGCCAACAGAATTTACTAGATAAAAACTCAAAACACTGTACTAATTATTATATCTCTGTATGCTACAATGAGCAAAAACTAACATTGTGACGTCACACGCGCTCGGGTTTATTCACGAGCTGTCGGCTTGTCTTCGGTACTGAATTTAAAATTTAATTTTTATTTTGAAATAACTTTTTAAATATTGCAAAAAAAAAATAAAATAAAAATAGTTTTGTTATTAAACTTATATATGATCTTTCCATTTATCACAAAAAAAAAATAATTCAAAAACCCAATTAAGTCATGTGAGAAATGTAATAAATTATTCAATGTGGCAAGAATTTAATATTATTTACCGTTTATTCGTAATAAGTATGGTATAAATATTTTACGTACAATATAACTTTTGTATAACTTTTTACGATGCTTGAAAAAAAATTGATATGGTCATTTAAGAAGTGACACAACTTTATAAGCTTTTTGGTCGATTTGTTTCCTTTTAGTAAAGTATTAAATATTTATTATGATGTTACATTCTAATAAAATAAAAAAATAAAAAAAACAAATGACAGTATAGCTAACGCAAAAATAAAACCAGCGATCAGAGAAAGTCGACCATAACCTAAGTATTTTCTCACAAAAATCACTTCTTCATATTTAGCCTTTTAAAGAGTTTATATTTTTTTCATCCAAATATTTATAACAAAATCCTTCTCCAGACAAGAATCCAGTAAGAAGAAGAAGAAGCGCTCCAGGTCTCCGAACGCTGACAGCTCCAGCAGTTCAGAGGACAGCGACTCCAGCTCCGACGGCGAAAAGACGAAGAAAAAGAAGGTATATATTAAAAAAAACAGTAGAAAAAAACACTTTGATATGCCTTCACTTAGCCGTTTGAGTAGGCGGTATTCAAAGATTCTGTTGATCCATTCTATATCGGGTGATTTTACTACCATTTGGGCGTTTTTTATTTATTTTTTTTTGTTTACTTCAATTGTTTGCGTATCTTTTTATGATTTAAACATAATCTTTGAATATTAGATGCGATAGTACTGTCTCTTGTCTTATCCGGTTGTAATTTCGGGGTTGAGTTTAGTTTTGGTCGCGTTTTCTGTGTTTTCGTTATGTATCGGGGAACTGTCTCGTCACAATCACACCAATCCTTCACAGACTACTCAAGATATGCCTTGATGATTTGTTTTTAAAGAATCAGCACTGTTGCTTTCAAATTATTATTTATTTTTTGGATCCATGTGTTCGGACACTGAAATTTTTAACGTTCTCAGCACATTTTAAACTTTGAATTGTATTTAAATATTATATTTCCATATAACGATCCCCTAAAATTTTCTCCATTCATCATGAGCTGTTAATTAGTAGATGTCATTGTATTGTTTTGCGACTTCCCATCCCATTCCGAAGCTTCCAAATTTTATTGCTAAAACCCACGATAAATATGTCCAAGTCGAAGTGGGCCATATTGTTCTCGTCTTGTTTATTTTCTTTATTTTGACTTTGTTTTTTTGTTTCTGTAAATACAAGAAATAGACAGTAAAAATTCTCTGTTTAACTGTGCATCATTTCATAGGATAGCCATCTTTATCTGAAGAAATAACGTATACTGTAAGTATATCACAAAACAATAACACTCGTAAGACACTGTTAGGTGAAAAAAAAAAATACATATTCGTGTTAAATTTGGTAATGCATTTTGCAGTTAATTTGTGACTAACTTTTTTTGTATTAATATATACATGGGCGATTGTCAGCGTCTTAATGTGCGCATACCGTATGCATGGTGTTCCGTATAACTTATAAACAGATGGTGGTACCGCTGTATTGAACGCGTGATGCCTCTATGTGTATTACAAAAACGTGACCCATGACTCAACAGCTATAGAGTTTGAATGTTGTAAAGCAGTATTTTGTTCGCGGGTTCACGTTTTTGTATGTCGCATTAAATGTCCAGATTATTTGTTTATGAAGATGTAACTAATCCATAACATTCTCCCTCTTCTCATTGACTCAAAACTAATTAAGGATGCTCCACATGTTTAAACGGTATACTACCACCACCGTTTGTTAAATAAGGTACGTCTCAGTGTTATATTATTGATTTTGTGTAAATAAATGTATTTTATTTATATATAAGTACTGTAAGAGATATATTTAACATTGTTATGTTACTAAACTTAGAATTAACGAGGCGTATATGCACTAGTGCCAAGAACTTTTTTATTTTGTTCTCATTTACGTTTTAATTATATTTATTTTCAATGAGAGTGTTATGGATATTTTCTTATTACCCAAAAAGTACATAAAGAACTAACAATTCGTCCATTAATTTACTTATAATACTTGCTTTCGTGAGTAGCTTATTAAATGTAAAAGAATTTATAATTTATGCCTTCAAATTGTTTTATATTATGATTCCTAATAGAAATGCATGTGTATATATAAATTTTTAATTTTATGAAACTCTTCAATCATGATTTCAACATTCTTGAAGTGAAGAGTTTCTATTCGTGTTAGTTCAATACGTTTTTAGTTGCCATAACCACTAGAATTCTTGTATTGGCACTGGTGTTTATGACATATTTATGTCAACTACATTTTAATGTCGTGCTATTGCTTTTGTACAGAAAAAGTCAAGTAGCAGACGACGTGCGAGCAGCGCGCCTTCAAGCCGTGAAAGGTACGAAAACGAAATATAAGAATAAAACTTGGTCAAAATTACTTAAATTAAACATGTAATCTTAATTTTCTAGTTCGCCAGTGAAACAGAATAAAAACAAGCAGTGGGAACGTCCAAATGAGTTTCAAGAGAACGATGTACGTAATAGAAACCGCAACCGCGAGGAACGCAACAACAAATATGACGATTCTTCAAGAAATTCCCATCAAATTGATTCAAGAAGACGTGAGGATCGCAGTCGGTCTATTGAACGGCGGCCGTCACCCAACTATAGGCATAGAGATGATCGCAGGTCCCCGGAATACAAACAAAAATCTTACGTCAGTAAAATAGCTAACAGAAAGGAAACAAAAGATGATTCAGCTAACTCTAAAAACTCAAAGTCTAAACGTCAACGAACACCAACAGAATCTGAATCAGAAGAAACGTCTAAAAAGACTGAACGAAGAGATAAGAGGCGGAGCAGCAGAGAGGTTAGCGCTTCACCACCGCCAGGCAAAAGACGTAGAAGCTCATCGGCCGATAATAAAAGATATGACTCGTATTACAGTAAGAAGGAATTACCGAGAGAAGAATCTCGATACGAAAGTAAAAGGATGCGTAAGAGTGAATCTCCTGACTATAGAAGCAAACGGCACGAAGCATCGCGTAGCAACAATGATAGGAATAATAGATCGGACTACGATAAGAATCATAAAGATGATGAAGCTAGAAAAAGAAGGAAAGACAGAAGTTCTTCAAGAGAGAGACCAGAAACTTCTTATAAATACAAAGATCGGTCACCAGTTAACAAAAACAAAAAAGATTCTAAGAAAGAACCTGAAAGATATTACAAAAATAGTCGCGTTGAAGACTCTGAATCAGAGTCTGAGGCTGACTCACGTAAACAAAAGGATATTAAAGGGTCTAACAGTAAATCTAAAGGTTCGAAAAGTAGAAATAAGTCACCACCTAAAGACAAAAGGAGAAGAAGTCCTACAATTGAAAACAGAAAAGACTCCCCAGACCGGAGGGAACGTCAAAATTCTCCTGATCGAAGACAAGAAGATAAGAAAACAGATAAATATAAATCGAGTTCAAAACTAGAAGAGAACAAAAGAGATGAAAGTAGGAAGAGAAAATCTTACACACCAGAAAAGAACTCGGGGCGGAAACATTCAAGAAGCAAATCTAAATCTGTATCACCGGAGCGGAAAAGATCAAAGAAAGACAAACAGAGGAGCAGATCACCTACTGTGAAATCTAAGAGAAACACAGATAGACGGAACTCTTCAGCGAGATATGATAATAAAGATAAACATGACAAAGATAGAAATGACAAAGAAAAAAATGATCGCGATGATAACAAAGAAAGGAAAAAATCTCGCTCCAAGGAACGAAGACGGAGCACTTCTAGTCTGAGTTATTCGCCCGCAAGACGCAGCCCAGAAAGATATCGCGATATAATAGAAAAGTTACCAGAGAAGGACAAAAGGAAGTATATAAAATCACCCTCAGATTTGAAGCCAAAGGCAAAGAAAAGTAAAGAGATAGCTGATAAATATAAACCCAAAGCCGTCTGCATGATAAGTTCGTGTAGCGAGAGTGATCAGTCTGAGGAAGATCTGGACGTACGAGCGAGGGCGAGGCAGGAGGAGCTTGATATTAAGGAATTAATTAGATTGAAAGAAAAACTAGCGCAGATGGCCAAAGCGTCCATAGAAAGGATGAGGACTGAAGAACAGGATCAATCCACCTCCAATACTAATAATAAACAGAGTCCGATAGTAGTGGAAACCTCTAAGGTAGAAGTCACTCCTAAGAAAATTGAGACTCCCAAGAAGGATAGTCCAGTGAATGTAGAAAGTTCTCCTGAGGCGAAACGTGAAAAATCCCGTGGCTGGTCTCGCTCGTCGTCACGTCGCTCGTCCCGGTCTAGGTCCAGATCTAGATCTAGGTCGTCACGTTCCAAGTCACGCTCTTATTCATCTTCAAGGTACGTTCAAATTTTCGTCCATACATTAGCATGAAACTAGTTATATCACTACATATTATTTTCTAGTTTTTACCTGAAAAAACCAATAGGTCTTTCTTCTGCTATTCATTTTCCGCCATTGGCAGTTATTATTCTATAATCGTTTATTTTGTATATACATAACATAACATATTATTATTATTTAAACTTCCAGACGTTCCCGGTCCAGTCGTTCCAGTTCGTACAGCAGCAGGAGTTCCTCGCGGTCGTCCCGCAGCTCGTCACGATCCACTCGATCTTCAAGGTTAATAATGATTTCACACAAATAACACGTAACTTTAAAAAAAACTACAGTTAAATTCAATATCTAGACTGACGTCTGTATAGAACAAGAACGCCCTCAATCATTTCCTACATAAATGATATGTGTATAACAAGCGTCGCAAGGTAGCAAGGTAATGTATGTAGCGGGTGAAATACGCAGAACTATGACGGGAGTGTACGGCGATTACCGCAGATCGAGCGGTTCCCGGGCGTCCCGCTCGCCCTCCATCCCGAGGCGCGCAGGCTCGCCAAGCTTCCTTGATAGGAGACGCATCACCAGGTACACTTGTGTGCACCTCCCTACTCCCCACACGATCTGTTTGCCACTTACATGTAATAGATGAACGATGGCGCTACCGTAGATGTAGTGTTTTCATTGATTTTTGTTTTTGATTGTTTGTTTACGTTATAATTTAAGGGCTGTCAATTTAATCGTTTCTTCCATAAGGAGTTATTGTTGAAAAAGTCTGGATTTTTCTCTAAATTAGGAACCTATGGGACTACAAATTTTTTCTTGGTTATTGGCTATTAACAGTTTCTTTCGTTGATTTTTGTGGAGCTAGTATTAATAATGGGTTGTCATTTTTTATGATCAATAACCACACTCGGTTCAGCTTGCAGTTTATGGTTGATTTTTTATCTGCAGAAAAATATGACAAAGAACAAATTTTTGTGGACAAGTTCATTAAAATTTTTTGCTGCAAGTTTATTTCCCAAATTATTTGAGGATTGTCACTTCAACAGAAATATCTGTTATTTCTGCATATGGGTTTAATTTATTCTCATGAATATGAAGACATGAATGTCTGAAAGCGTTTTGTTTTTTTTTACGTAGCCAATATAGGAGGAACTTTTATAACAGATTGATATGATTATTTTCTTTATTTGGTTATTTTGAACGGTATTTATGTGCAAAAGGTTCTTAAAAAGGGCTGATAATAATTCTTTTATTTAATTTTATCAAACTCAACACTAATTTTAAGTAATAACAGGGGCAATTGATAATAGTTGTTATTTCTATATGAGTTTTGGGCTATATTTGTAACACAAAAATCTCCTTTTATATAATCTTTTTCGTTCATTATTCACGATTGACATTGTCATGCTAAATTATATTTGTTATAAATGTATAAGTTGTTTTAACATTTAAGTGTGACGCTTGTTTAATACAATTAGTGGGCTTATAAAATATTTTTCTACGCAATTGTTCTTGCTGAAAGTCTTAATGAATTGAGATATACATTATATATTCCTCTATATATTTGGAATTCAGAAGATGTAAATGCAAGGCTTAATTACAAAAATGACTTTCTGCAACAACAGTCAAAATTGTTGCCATATGAAAATGTACATTATTTTATTTCATTAGAATTGATGTTTCAGGTACATTTTTGTATGGCTTGTAGTATTTTTTTTTTTTTTGCAATTCTGTTTATGTTTTGTTTTTCTTTTCTTTTTAGAAAAAAGTCACGAAAATATAGCACGAGTTCTGAAGACACGAGTAGTAGCTCGGACTAGGAATAATAGATTTAGATTAATTTGATGTATTCATTAAGACTTACCAATAATATATTGTTCACAATCAACTTGACTTTTTTTGAGAACAAAACTAATAATATGAAAACTCATTTCAATAACCAAAACTACATTTGTAACAAATTTTAACAAAACATTGCTACATTTTTCAACCTAACAATTGGTTTTTGTTTGATATACTAACTGGGGTGATATTAAACATTTTCCCTTTAAATGTACAACAATGTCATAAAATTAAGAAAATATTTACCTTTTTGAATAATTTTAACTTCATGGGTATTTTTGATCTCATATTTAAGTTTAATTCCAGTTCTTCCATAAATATAATATAATAATAGATAAACCCTTGAATATTAAACATTTGTTTTTTTCATAGCGCTCCAATAATAGATCTTACCTATCCTTCAAAGAAATACAAGTATCCGAGGAGATGAATATTGAATATGGCAATTAAGTTTAAAATGTTTATAAGATATATACAAGAAATCAAGTGATGCCAGATGTAGAAGTTGTGCTATTTTTATGGACATTATTATTTCAAGTGTGTTGTTTTACCTATGATATCACATTAAATTTTATTGTAAAATATTTTGTTTTTTTTTTTTTTCTTTTATTTTTGCATGGTAGAAAACAATTGTATTGAAACAAATAATTCACAATTTATCATCATTTGTTGCTTGTGGCATCTTGAACCAGAGGTAAGTTTAAGCTTATTTCATTGTACAGTTGTGATTTTAGATAATATCTTAGTATTTAAAACAGCATGAAAAAATATTCGTTCTATAATTTACATACTTCCAATAGTAGTTTGCATATTTTTACGATAAAACATGAAAGTTTCAGTGTAATTGCGATATGATACATAAAATTACATTAAATTGAATTTTGCATGTGTAATTAACTATTTTAACCTATTTGTACTAATAACTAATACACCAAATCGTTACTAACAAAATAACAGTGCACGAAAACGGCCCATTCCCTACCGTCGGCCGACCCCATCATCACCATCGAGCGGAAGCTATTACAGCAGTAGATCGTCTCATAGGAGCTGGACAAAATCACCTCCACCTGAATAATACTGGATTAAAACCTCATTTATAACAAATAATATAACAATTGAGTGAAAACATTGTGACATCCGCGTCATTGTCGACTATGGTTGTCAGTTGTCACTTGAGTTCTATAACGAGGAAAATTTACACAATTTGAATAATATATTTAATTATAGCGCTATTTTTAGGTATTTATATTAAATAAAATAGTTCAATTTAAAAAAATAATATATTTAATATGTAACGTCTAGTCATTTTGATGTCGGTATTTTATTGAATGTGTGAACATTAAGTGATTGAAAATATTATCGTAAAGTTTTTATGATAAAAGTAAGATTCTTAATAAGTTATTTGTTTGAAACTGTTGATAATTTTATTTTTTATTTATTACAGCAAAAGTTGTACACATATTGGTATACTCAAAAGATATTATTTTTACAATTATTTATTATTTACCAGTCGATTTATGTGCAATATATTTATGAATTGTCGATTTAAATTATTTATTTATAATTTCTAGTCATTTCTAATCATTTATTTCACCAAAGCTAATTGTAAGTTCGTGTAATGTAAGGTGCAAGGAAACATTTTTTTAATAATATTAAAATAGAATTGTAAATCGTAACCAGCTAGAATTTATATAGATGTATCAGCGGGTCCACTGAAGCAAACTTGTTCTCTTAAAGTGTTGTGGCGTAGTTACGAATGTTATATTTATTATTTAAGCTTCTAGTGGTCGCCGAATTTTAAACCTAACTCAAGTGTAACAAGCTATAAAAGCAATAAAATGAATTCGATGATATTAAAATACTCAATACCCATAAGAAGTGTTTTATTACAAATATAAAAATAGTGCAAAATATATATCTTTAATTTATGGTAATCCAAAATAAAAATCGTGAAATGTCTTAACGGGTCCCATTTCCTTAACATATTGAGATATACTGACAATTAAAAACATTGTCATGACTTGATGAACTCATAAAAACAATAGCTTTTTATCTCGACATAACACGATTCACAACTTTTATTACAACTGATTAAATCTTATCAGGACACAAAACATCTTAGATCCCATAAGATTTGATCAGTTCAATTAAAATATTTACAAAGTCATTTCATTTTAAATCTTATACTAAAAGCACCACAGATAAATAATGTGGAATGTTTTCATTTGTAAAAACGTTTTTTGATGATAGAATAATTTATATATATTACAGTGACCTAAATATGAAGATTTCTGGACAATAAAAGAGCAATAATAAATTGTGTAAACACAAAGGTTAAAGTGGTTATCAAAAATTTTAAAAACAATATTGTTGATACTTGAATAGCGAATTTGTTTGACCATCACCTTATACTTAAATATAAAATTATTTCTTCTGACTTTGTTGTCTTCTCTTTGAGGCTACAAACATGGCCCAACCAAAACCGACCAAATTCATAAACAGAACTCTGAGCTGTAAAGGAAAATTATTGTTCAAGTTTACTTACTTTAAGGAAAATATCTCCAGTATTACACATTACTTTGATATTATTTTGTTTCATATTATAAAATTTTAAATTCATTATTGTCTAGCAAACTTAATAAAATAAAATTTTTCCTCACCATAGGTGGTATAAATGCCATGTTTATAACTTGAAACAGTGTCAGCCATTTCCAATTAGCTTCCAAAACAGTCAAGTATAGAGCTTTTAACTGTTTTAAAGCCGCACTATGATTTTTACCCTCAAATCTTGCGAGTGTGTATAAGGAAAATGCTTGCATGAATGGTGCAAAAATAAGTCTCTCAAACATTAGTTTCTGCGCCAAAGGAAATGCTGTGGACTCATAAGGAAAAATTCTTTCAACAAATTCATAGAAGTAATGAGGAATCGTCCCACCAAAGAGTAATCTGAAGCAAAAATAGTATTTTTACATTAGTTGTGGCATTGCATCAAATTACTTATTTATTACATTACAATTACCTACAAAAAAATGACAATGCAATTAAAATTATAAATTTGTTTTTAGATCTATTAATATTGAAAAATTAGATATACAAAAGAGATCATTTAGTAATTTTCTATAAACAAATTGAAGCCTACATCTATAAAGGTTAAATGTTTATTTGTAATACTTTGGTTACTTACCCATATAAACCAAAAGCTAGAATTGGGTCCAGTCTCAATGACTGTCCAGCCACTAACTGAGATGCAATGCTACCAGCTGAACCAACAACACAGCTAAAAATATAACAATAACTTTATTGTAACAATATAATATACTTAAACAATATACTTAACTAACTTTAGTTCATCACTTTTAAATCTTTAATAATAATATTCATATCTTATGAATTAATAATTGCCAAAGAATACAAGTCTGTTTAAAGTTATTACCTGGTAATAGCTTTCGTTTTAATTGGATGAATATACAAGTTCTGTAAGTATGACGCCAACAAATTCATAATTGGTTTCGATAGTGCCATTTTATATTATAAAATGTATAATTATTTCCTTAAATTATAAAAACACTGTGCTCATTAACAATTATACAATACGTATAATGATTATATTGACTGAATTGTGATAAAAAATTGATAACGTTATCACTTATCAACAAGATTGTTATTTTCAAAAATATAATTCGCTTGATTCGTTAAACTCTTTTGGATGAATTTGTATTGTCATTGCACTATGAACTCGCACTTTGAACAACTATCAACTGTGTATTTCGTATAATGATAAAAATGTATGACGGCTTATGTGTATTTACATCGCAAAATAAGTGTTCTATCTGTCAAAATATATATATAATAGTGCTTATATATTCAATAATTATTCCGTTTAGGAGTTGGTTTGCTACTGCACGTTTTACTAAACGTTTGTGAATGTGGCTCTATTTTAAAATACAAAAAGACCGATTATTCATCATAATGTTAAAATGTATTTTATAAATCTAAATAAAAATTTACTATAAATTCAAGGGCATACATTTGTACAGCTACTAAGACATAAGGTTAATTGTATTTTAATTTAAAAGATATAGTATGTAAGTTCACTTAATTTAAAAATTTTAATCTGCCTAACTCGATTAATAGTGATAATAAATGAGATATAATATATTTCAATCCCTTATTAATTTTGATAGTTTTTATCCCTTCTTGTGTTTTCAGTGTTAAACTATGAAAATTCTTATAATTTTTTTTTCCTGAATATCATCATGAGAAGAACTCTAAAAACTTATTGGACATTGCTCTGCATGAAACGTACCAATTCTAATTTTTACATGGATTACTATATACCTATTGTAAGAACATTCCTAACGTAGTGCCATTGTGGAATTTATTGTTTTATCACAATATCTCCGTTTCATATATGTTAATTTTTAAAATTCCCATTTTTGATCCTCTTTTCTCAGCAACAATCAGGGCCGTGCCTGACGGGCGTTCATTGCGTGCACCGCACGCAGGCGGCCGAAATTAAGAGGCGGCCAAATCGTTACAAGTAGTACTGGGCAAAAATACAATCAGTTTGTTTTCATTAAGATACGAAGTAAAAACAGTTTCTCTAATCTAATCTATCTTAAAAGAGTTTCTCAGAAATAAGAAATGTATAAAAACTGATTAGGTCGTTGTATATATACCTAGTCATGCAGCGAATCCGAATTTTTTCGAACATTGCACGAGCGACGAGCCGAAATAGTTTTCTCAATTGACCGGCGTCGCGTAAGCGGTCTTATTCGTCTTATTAGTCGTATTAGTCTATAGACTAGCGAGGATAAATCGTTATTTGTGTGCTGTGTGCGATCCGATATTATTAAAGTCTTTAATTTAACGAATAAAAATAAATTGCTTAATTCCTAGGATTTTAAATTATCGTATTCCTATGTTCTTTATGTTTGATAATTTTGTCTGTGATTATAATACCAATACCATAATTACTTTTTTTCATGTTATTATTTTTGTTTAAATTTTAAATAAAAAAATGTTTATTTTGTGAATTTTTTTTTTCTTAAATTTCATCCAAACATATACTTAAATCTCATAAAACCGATTTTTAGCCGGTTTTTCTTTTCTGAAACCGGTTTTGGGAACAAAACCAATATTTTTTTTCGTTCTCGATTTCGGTTAACCAAAAACTGATTTTTTTCCCGTTTTGATGCCCTGTGTATAATAATAAACATTAAAAATTAAAGTAGTTTTTTTTAATGTTATCCTGGGGGCGGCCATACAGACTGGCACGCAGGCGGCCATATACCCAGGCACGGCCCTGGCAACAATGACTGTGTTTTCCCCATTTTTTGCTACCAAAAAGTAAAAATATTATTTTTAGTTCAAGTTACTTTGAATACCTTTGTAAGACAGAAGGCTCAAAAACGGCAGCCCTTATCATTTCTTGTTGAACTAATGTTATTTAGTTGAGCTGCAATTTTTTTGGGCTTCAAGTCATCAATTACATCACCAAGTGATATATGTTTGAACAATGTTTGATCCTACGTCTTTTGGTTTGGTTCTACTTAAGTATTTTAGTTTGCGTTTTACCACCATCTAAGCGCACGGTAGTGCGCCGGCCAAGTTCCAGCAACAGGCCGCGCGTATGCCGTGCACTATTTACACGAACCGTTTCGACCCACTTTTGACCCCCCTGTAGCTCAGTGCCTATTGCAAGTACAGAGATAAAATTGTACCTACGTAATCATATACTAGTACTAAAGCAGTATGCTAAATTTCATAGATAAAGCTTCAGTAGATCCTGAAATATGACCCTGTGAAAATAGCTAATTTTGGCACTGACTCACTGACAGGTAATCAAAACCTTTAGGCCACTTCCCATTGTTTTAGCATTATGAAATTTGGTACACAGGTTGTGTGTTATGTGTAGATTAACAAAAAATTAAGAAATTTAGGAAATCGGTCAAGCGTGAGTTGCCTCAATTCTAATATCGAATTAATAATAAAAATATTTATGAACCAGTGAATACAATGAGAATACGAAGCGGTGGAAATGGGGGGGGGGGGTATAAAATATGTAATAAAAAATTTAAGAAATCGGTTAAGCGTGAGCTGGCTTAATCGAATATCGAATTTTTATTACACGCTGTATATTAGCATCACTTGTATGTTTGTTTGTTTGTATTTATATAACTCTCCTATTTTTAATACGCTTCTTATGCACTGCTGTGATATGGGTATCAAATGAAAGAGTTTGAGGAGAAGAATATGAAGATAAAAATAATGCAAGAATATCGGGACGATAAAATATTGGGACGGCAAAATATCCAGACCAGACGAAGAAATATCCGGACGACAAAAAGTTTTTCCAAAACTCGAAAGTATAGAATAATATCTATATCTATATATATATATATATATATATATATATATATATATATATATATATATATATATATATATATATATAAAATATATAGGCGCTCAGCTCAGCACAATAAAGTACGTAACAGCACAATAAAATAATGAAATATTAATAATTAATAATATGAGTACATCTATCAATTGGTGATAAATGAAACTAAAAAATAATAAAATAAATATAGTTTAAAAAAACTAAAAAAAACACGCTCCAATGATGAAAGAAACCGCGTGGAAACTAATTTAACCTTTACAACCAAATGAATTTTGGAAATCAATTTAATTTAAATTGTTTAAAATAAACAATAAATGGTATTATTGAAAAAAAAGCGTGGGGCGCTTCTCAAGAAGTGATATATGAAGCTCCCCACACTTTTTTTCACAAAAATACCATTTATTGTTTGTTAATTTATTTTTAAATTAATATTATTGTGAAAAAAGTGTGGGGCGCTTCATATATCACTTCTTGAGAAGCGCCCCACGCTTAATTGTATCATTAATATATTATATAAATAATAAATTAATGATACAATTAATTAAGTGTTACGAACAGCACGAAAACCTATAATTAAATTAACCTGCCAAGTTCAAATTTAGATGTATTATAATTTCAGATATTTTTAACCAAGAACCTACGTATTTTCACAACTATACCATATTTAAAGTTGGGTGTATGGTAAAGTGAATTTCGTCCAGATGGACCGTTGACGTGAATAAGGTGGCGGGTAGTGGCTGGATGTGGAAGGCAGAGGACTGGGTGTGGTGGCGAGTCTTGGGAATGGCAAATGTTTACCAGTGGATCATGCTGTTGATGAAGATGATTATGATCGATTTCAAAGTGCATCTAAACTTGGCATTAGATTAGATTTCAACCCTCTTTTAGGCAAACAATTAGCCGATTGGAACTTGGCCCCTTTTTTAACAGGCATGTTTTTGGTAAGATCCTGTTTAGTTAAAAGTTCTAGCGTGTTTATACCAGGGAAGGCAAGCATCTTTTCTGATTTTTGTCCGTTTCTTATGCTACCATCCGATATTGAAAGCTTATATATCTAGGCTCTACTGCGTTTGACTTGAGGAGTAAATTGGTAAATGCAAGAGAGCTTTATGAAAAGTCTGATCTGATAAGGCGGATGAAAGCTGAAACATATATTTTTTAAAAAATATGTGAAAATCTATACGGGATAGATGGAAGTTATACAGTATTCTTCTAATCAAAAACAGGCTCTTTTTTTATTTACTTTAGGACTATAAAAAAGTTACGTTCTGTGTCGGTGACAGTAACTTGATAACGATATTCTTATCTTTTAAGTGATTTCACTAATTCATTGTCGATCCTAATCAATATTATACAACCCCTTTCATGTATAGTAACTTAGCTTTTTTGATTCTACATCATTTGCTAAAATATTCTAGTAAGATTTTTAAGGTTTGTCATGTATATTTTTTTTATTACCAGCGAATTCTTGGTTTTTTGACTTCATGAAAAATTAATTAGCTTTTTTGAATACATGAAAAATCTGTTATTTTACTTTTTTCCTTAACGTTTATGTAAGTATTTCAGCTTTACAACATAATATAATAATCGACATTATGATGCGAATTTTTTCAATTCGTGTTTAAACTTGAATGAATTTCAAGAATATCGGGAGTAATTTTAACAATTTGACTGATTACTACATGATATGCAAGCATACCGCTTGAGAGAAAGCTTTATTGTTTTTTGTTTGAGAGCTTAGTTAGTCGTTGTATAAGTCTTAGCAATAAACAAGTTTTTGGTCAGCGACTTCATTAGCGTGGACTTCGTGATTGGGCTAAGTAAAAATAAATAATGTGGTATCACAATTCACGACAAATGCTGACCGACCATTAGCGACATCTGTCGAGTGTCGCCTGTGTATCGTGATATAATACTACACAACTGATGATGTGATCCTAGGGAAAGTAAAGGGAATGAATGAATGTTTAAAGCTTGCTTTATCACAATAAAACAGGCTTTAAGACACAGTTACACACATTGTTAAGTTTCACTAAAAGGTGTTAAACCTCTGTTTTGTAAGAGTCACGAAAATCCATATACGCTCACAAACTAACGTATTTTTAAAATAATTAGAATTAGTAGTACCTATATATTGGTATGTTTTTAGTGGAATTCCAATTTATACTGGACTCCTGCCTTTAGCAATACTTCATCATTTCAATTTAAGTTCATTTAAACCCATTTTATTGTTCTAAAACAAATTTGTTATGAGAGACCTATAGATAAAATATGTATAAGTTTCAAAAACAATTGTATTACTGTTAAAAATAAACTAATTGTTTACTTATAAATCCTTTATTTTTACCATAATTGAAGAGTTAGTTAATAAGTAATTATTACAAGAATTGCTAAGTTTAGAATCTAAATAATCTACCATACATTTTGTCAATATAAAATTATTCTTTCAGTTAAATCACATGATCAAAAATTTGTAAATATTATTAATATTTTTACTAGAGTCACTATTTACAATGTATATTATTCATTTTACAAAAATAACTACATTAAATTTTATAACAATTATAGTTTTCATATCATTAAATACATATATTATGACATCATTTTACATTCTACATATGATACAAACAGACAGTACAATCATATACATAGTAAATATTAATATAAATTTACATACAATTTAACTACATATACACAATTTTGGTTAACATTAAATTAAATGATAATGAGAAATGAATAACGGGTATAATAAATTAGTTCCGCTAGCCAGTAGCTTACACAAACATTTATATAAGACTGTATTTAAATAATATATTTTATTTGGTATTTATAATATTGCAAACTAATGTAGCTTTTCATTTTTTAAACTGGCAAGACCTATTATTTCATTCAATTACATGTCTTATTCCAAATAATTAAAATCTATTTTTGTTTGATAAATGTGTTGAAAGTAATTTTAGCTTCCATTAAACAGTTTATCCAACTGCTTCTTTAAATTATGTGATGTGATTGATGGTGTGTCTTGAGCAGGTACTTCTCGTTTTACTAATGGCGTGTTAAGAAAATTCATTTTTTCTTTCATTTCCATGTACATATCTAGGGCTTTGTCATTATTTTTGGGTGGAGTCTGCATACCGTCTGAAACATTTGGCAGTGACTTACGAAACACCTTTTTCCTCAAACACGTATTCTTTTTTGGTATTTTATATGAAGGTTGTTGTTTATTTGGTGTTTCAATTGTTGTATTGGGCGATTTTGATTCACATTCATTGACTGGTTTGATATTTTTTTTCGCATTGATCAACTTCCTGACATTTTGTAATGATTTCTGTTGGGCCTCTTTGATGTCATTCAACGTTTTGATGCCCATTTCTATTGTCCTGATATTATTTTCAGTTTGTTTCTCTATTTCGAGTAGTTCATTTAGCTCGGTGTTTGTTTTATCTGTGATTGTTATATCTTTACTATCTATGCTGGTGACCGCGGCTTTATTCAGCATGTCACATAGAGACACAATCACACTCTCTTCCCTTTTATTGTTCTCGTGACTCAATTCTTTGTCGAAGTTCATTATGGTGTTGTTATTTATAGAATTATCTAAACCACATGTATCATTAAAGTATTCTTGAACATTTCTATACTCTTTGAATGGTGTTGATATTGGAGGTGTAGCTTCTGCGATATTATCTAAAATCGGCCTTTCAGGGATTTTACTAGCTTTTTTTTCTACTTGGTCATTAATGTTTTTCTCATTTTGTAAGAAACTGGCATCACTATTTGATTTGAATGAGAGGTTCGATGATGGTGTCATGGGGAAATTGTTTTTGACTTGCGGTATTCTGTATACACCACTTATTCTTACACTATTTTTTGCTGAAATAATACGTCAATAATTTTATAATGGAAACTATAAAACAGTACATTATAAATGTTATAAATACTTTACCTTGCAAGTTCAATGACTTTTTTGCTCTTATTTCTGGTCTTGGAAATTTTGGTGTTTCTGAACTTATGAGGGTTGTTCTGACATTGGTTACAGGCTGAAAAATACAAGATATAATAATAAGACATTACTGTTTACATTCATTTGGTATCTTATATAGAATTATTAATTTTGTAAATATTAAAATAGCCATTTACCTTATTTTTCGGTTGAAAATTGAGAACTTTTCTTACAGAACTGTGTTTTGTTTGACTGTTAGATACTACACTTTTTGTTTTGTTTTCAGGTTTAACTGATGAGTTCCAATTCCTTTTCTTAGTTGAAGTGTTCGGTTGAACATTTCTCTTCGGAGAATTGAGGAGTGCTGAAAATTAAGTAGTTATTGAACTTCAATTATTTGTTGTTAAATAAATAATTTCTTAGGTTGTATTTATAGCTTACAAACAATATTCGCTCTCATTTCAGCTATCGTTAATGGTTTGAACACCTTTTCAGCTGTTCGGGTTTCAGCTATAGTGGCTCGTGGCTTTTTCTTAGCCGTGAGAGATCGAACACCATCTTCGTTTAAAATACCTAAAAAATAATGTTTATTAATGTCCCTATCATGAATTAATAGCAATAATAATCGTATTTGAAACATTTTACCAGTAATAATATTTACTTCTTTAAATTTAAATGCATTACGAAGATAGAACTATATTGAACAGACAAAAGAGACCACTTACTACGTAGTCCTGGTAAAAGCTCAGCCATTGTTTTGGGCTTTATAAAAGGGTTACTTTGCAATGATGTATCCATTTCTAATAACTGTACTTATAGGAAACTTATAATTGCACTTCAAAGACACAAAAAATCCACAAAACGTAAACACAAACGTAGCTTTTTCAAATTAAATATTTCAACTGTCATATGTGTCAAACCTAACAACCGTTGACATTTAAGTTTTATGTTTTTGTTTTTTATAACGCAAACGAATTTATCATATCATTTATATTATTAAAGTCCATCTTTCTTAAAAATATACTCAATATATTTCTATTGAGATTGTGTTTTTACACATTCCGATAATCTATTATGTTTACCTTATCTGTGAATTGTTATCAGTTGTAGATAAAAAATGACATGTCAGTAAAGAGAGGCATATTGATTTGTCAATTCATGTTTTAAACTTGTCATAATAATCATTGATATTTGATAATACTTTGTCGTTCAGTGAAGTTGTTCCAGAGTTGTAATATACTTTCAGTAAGATGGTCAATTACGTGGATATAAAGGGATTTCAAGATTTTTCTAAATATACAGAGCAAATAGACTCAAATGGTCCACCTGTATTATTCTTCTTTAGTGGATCAAAACTTCCCAATGGTAATAGTTGGTGTCCAGACTGTGTTGAAGGTATTATGTTGTTACTGATAATATTTTCTCTATTGAAATTTATCTAAATACATTATTCACTTATCGTTAACTTTATCTATTTTATTACAATACAATTATTTACTAACTTTGAAAATATACCTTAATAATAAAAATATACTAAATACTTCAATTTAATTATTCAAAGAAATAGAAATATCTTTCGGTATTTTTAAATACTTAGAACTGTATATGTTGAATACATTAAAGCTATTTCTATATTTTTATTATAAATCCTCCTTACTTAATTAACATATCAACAAGAAATTTTATTTGTGCCTTGTCATTTGTCATTATATTTGTAGTCTTGTTTAATATGGTCAAAAATAAAACTATTATTCACTCTCTAAATGATTATAATGAATTCAGTAATTATTTGTCAAATGTAAAGGAAAATCAACCAAAACTGTATTTCTTTTTTACTGGGAAAAAGAAAGACAATGGCAGAAGTTGGTGTATATACTGCCAATTAGGTTACATATACTTAAATAACTTAAAAATAATATATTTAAATGCAATATATATGTTTAATTTTTCAGCTGAACCTGTTGTTAAAGCATTTCTAAGTGAATTGAAGAAGGACATAACCTTTGTCTATGTTGATGTCGGTGACAGAGATTAGTGAGTATTATTGTATATTATTTGATGTAAATATATTATTTATGTATGAAGTTAAATAGAAAATTGTTATCTTTTCTTACAATATACATATACATGTATGATATATACATATATACATAATACAAGTTTTTTTCTCCTGAGTTCTGATGAAAAGCAATGCAATAGAAAGAATATAAAAGACAGATGAAAAGCAATGCAATTATAGTTACACCTTAAGAGAGAAGCAGCACAACTTAACTTTTTACCTACTTGAGAGACTTAATTGTAGTTTCTGTGGTATTGCTTTTATAGGCTCGGACTCCTTTATTTCAATAAGTTTATGCTTATGGGCCTTGAGTTTTGAGTGGGCTAGTTGAAATCAATATGACGAACTTTCGGCTATATGAAACAAAGATAGGAAACAAGGATAGATTAGGAATTATATGTAAAACAGTACGACAATATTCCCTAAGTAAAATGCAATACACCATCAAAGCCAAGGTGCCTTTTCTCTCCATACTCCTAAACAAAGAATCTCTGGTATGGTAAAAATAAAGGTTCTCTGTTGATCATTAAGACAAACTGGCCCCCTCCCAATAATAGAAAAATCAAGTATTTAATATGTATACAGGGTGACTGGTGAATTACTATCAATATTTAAGGAGAATACTCGGTGCATGATTCTCATTCGAATTATGTAAAAAAAATAGGCACTTAATTTTTTACAAAATTTCCGTATAAATAAATAAAGTGTTGACACGTTCCAAGTGTTCAAGTGTGGACGCGTGCGGGGGCGTGCTGATACAACACTACGTCACGACACGCGTATGTGTGAGTGTGAGTGTATACCTAATCTGTAGGGTGCTCACACGATGCGTAATTAATTACATAACTTTTGGTTAACTTTACTTAGTAGTTTATTAATATTTATGTTATACTAATTTTTATTTTGTCATATATGATCGTCAAATATCACGTCCTCAAATATTGATAGTAATTCACCAGTCACCCTGTATATGACATACGATTTTAAGTAGGCAAATTAAATTACAATTGAGTACATTACAATCAGGATAACAATGAAGCATGTTTTTAAAACACGATAAGAGAAATGCAATGTAAATAATGATATCATAAATATTGATATGAAACGATAGAATTTAATGTTAGAACATATTCTAAAACATGTTTATGTATATGTTTATATACAAAGAACTTATTTAAATACAAATTTATTATAGTAGCAAAACAAAATGGCATTAATTATTCATTATTTTTCCGTACATTTTGTCTCTTGTACTAAGTCTATGACACATGTGAGATCTAAGACATTTGAGGTCAAAACTGATATTTTCGGATTTATTATGCGTTTTTTTATTATTTTAACTACATATTACTTTGCAACAACCATGACTACAGGCAGAGGAGAAGTTTCAATATTCATACACATATGTATTGTATTAAATCTAACTTTATTTTAATTTTTAGTTGGAAAGACCGAGCCTGCCCGTTCCGTACAGACAGTCGCACTAAGCTGATGGTTATACCGACGATAATAAAATGGAAAGGTGTTCAAAGATTAGAGGGCAGTCAGTGCAACAACAGGGAGTTGCTGCAAATGTTGATGGAAGACGAGGATTGAATTATTCCAACGGTTATATAGAAATGGCAAATTTTCAAGCCATCGTGGAATAAATTAATGAAAAAAAGTATTTGTTATCGTGTTTAAGGAAATGTTGATCAATAAATAATATTGTAATCGTCTCGGATGTTGTGTTTTTATTGTGTATGATTAAGTGTGTGTTATTGATGCTTACAACTAGTCTGAATTTGGTTTATAAGTCCACGTTTTTATTAAACGTGGATTAAAAGTCAGCTCTTATTTTACTGCTGTTACTCGTTTGTAGCGTATAAAATATAAATATCTATGTAATCTACATCTGTACATGAGAGGGTATGAGAGGGGTGCGCAACATATCAGTCAAACGAGATCAGGACTCTTTGTTCGTGAAGATAATTAATTTTTTTAATTTTTCTTGTAAATTTAACAAATTAATTGTGTGGAAATTCATTAAGATTATAATGAATGATTTTGTTTCTAGGAAATAAACATTTATTATATTTGTTTTGGACGGAAAGTTCTAATGCGTCGTCAACAAGGTTGCGTTAAATCATTTAACATTTAACTTAAATGTTCAACACTCCTGGGTAGGGGGAATAGAAAGAGACGGAGCGAGAGTAAATGGGTCAGTTGTGAATTGTAAGCCATGTTTATAAAGTTTGGCTTAAAGAAACAACACGAGTTTCCATATAACAAAGTTTCACTTCTTCCGCGCGGAAGGACTACGCCCTGTTTTTTTAGTGTAAATAAAACTGCTGTTAAATTGTAATAAACTTTATTACGTCATAAATGTATAAAACTTATATTCTACAACAGCTAAACAGGTTCCAACATAACGAAAATTAATTCAAACATCTTAATTATAAATCACGTTACATACTCTATGTACAATACGATAAAGGTCAATATTATATAATATTTCAAATGAATACAAGCAATTTATTAGATTAGCAATAGAATATACATTTTCAATAGCTATGTGCTGAGAAGATAATTTTAAAAGATAGAAAATTCGATATTAGTGCCGTATATAACACGGTCAACTAGTTCAAATAGATATATAATTATCACAGAATGCTTCGCTCTGTTGAAAACTCACCCTTAAAGTTTCTGGTACATAATATATTTGTTGGTTGTTCATTATATATTCTTCCTATAATCTAAAATGCGTTTTTACATAAGTACAAATCCGTTATACTAATATTTATCACAATAGTAAGGCTCCTAATTACGTTCAAGTTTAATTCGCGCGCAAATTTTTGCTTATTTGTCACAGGTTATAAACATATTTTATACATCATTACATCTAACCATAGACTATAAAACTCTATTATAAAAAGATACATTGTTTATGTTTTCACAGTACATGCTTCAGTCGGTATTTGATCTTCAGGAAGGTCGGTCATGTTAAGATCTCTTTCGGGTACTGAGATGAGGACGTCGTAGTAAACTTTTTTGCTTCGCAGATAAGAACTCTTATTGTCGAATATAACTGAATCTGCAAGAGATATGATTATTGATTATAATTAAAAAATATATATTTTTTACTAAGTGTAAGTTTTGTAGGCTGATTTTTGTTTTGAAAGTTTAATTGAAAAAAAAAAGACTTCAAATGTGAAAAAAATTGAAAATTATTTATAACAGTATCTCTATATTTTTCATGTCACATTCATATATGTATATATTTATAAAAAATGCAGTTATTATCAAGAAAATAATTTATTCTTAAACTTAGAACATAAAAAAATACATATAAAAATGTAACAAGATTATAAATTTAATCTTATCCTAAATACATATGAATAAGTTGATTGATTGCATTAAACGTGGTCTTCATCCATACAAAGACATGCACAATATATTCTGTCAGTGTAAGTAGAATATCTTATATATTTAAATGATCAATTCTTGTATATGTATATCTAATTGAAATCTCGGAATCGGCTCCAACAATTTCAAGAAATTTATTATACATATAGGGAGCTTAAGGGGCGACAAAACGATCGAGCTAAGAACCATTTTTTAGAAAACGTCATTTTGGGAAAAAAATAATAATAAAAAGCAGGCGCTTAAAATAAGACTCTTCCTGACATCTATTGGTGAATAGTAATACTACTTTATGCTACCTGCTTTTACTAATTGTTTTAACGACACAACAGCAGATGCCGTTGTTAAGTAACAGAAAGTCAATAAGCGTTTGTTTTGACGTTAGACTAAGAAATTCATAGTTCATTTATATTGTTTTGTGTCTTGTTAACGTGTTCACTTAAAAATGTATAAACGAAAAAAAAAACAAAATATATACTACTAATTCCTAAATAACGAGCAAAGGTCATTAACCAGATATTATTTGATTAATAAAATAATAATATAAAGTCTTACAAGTAGCGGGTCCCGTGACAGGCAACACTCCGACGTCCACGGGCCCTTCAGACACCTTCCTCGGTCCGTGCACCACAGACTCGTTGCCGTCTTGATCTCGTTTCTTGATCACGAACTTTATATCATGGCTGTCCACTCCGAATTCCCACCTATATAATATATACAGGGTGACTGGTGAATTACTATCGATACTTGAGGACGTGATATTTGACGATCATATATGACAAAATAAAAATTAATATAACATAAATATTCATAAACTTCTAAGTAAAGTTAACCAAAAGTTATGTAATTAATTACGCATCGTGTGAACTCCCTACAGATTAGGTATACACACACACTCACACATACGCGTGCGTGGTGTTGTATCAGCACGCCGCCGCACGCGTCCACACTTGGAACGTGTCAACACTTTATTTATTTATACGGAAATTTGGTCAAAAATTAAGTGCCTATTTTTTTTTACATAATTCGAATGAGAATCATGTACCGAGTATTCTCCTTAAATATTGATAGTAATTCACCAGTCACCCTGTATAACCTTCATTGTTACATCGGCATTATATTTTAGGTCAAATACAAAAAAAAACTTACTTCAGTACACTTTCACCGTCAGCGCACAATAAATCTACTATATGTTTGTCCCCGGTTTTCACCGTCACTCTCTCATATTCTTTCTCTTTTTCGTTGACTATATTGCAGGAGTAGAACTTCTTGGGCACCTTACCTCCGGGTTTAACCTTGGAATTTAATCACAATATTAAAAATGTATGAATACAATTTAAATGATAACGTAAATCATTTTTTATTTCTCCACTCACCATAGAACTGCACCTCGGGTCACCGTTTTCGTCGATCATAGTCCCACCATAGTGCATTGGTAACTGATCCCTATCAACCATAGCAAGTACCTGCGCTTGCCACTTCTTGGCGTCACTACCGTATATGCGTATTTTGGATATCGTGTACTCGTGCATAAACTTCTTGATGACGGAAAACGCCAGGGAGAAGACTTTTGGAGCTGTAATATAATATAAATATTAATAAGTTGTTAATAATATTCTAATGTAAGGTCGTGGTAACCTAGAGGTTAAAGGCCCGCCTCTCGTGCATGAGGGCGCGGGTTCGAAACCTGGCAATTTAACCAATGTGATTTTTGCGAGTCATATGTTCTTTCTAAGAGTATTTAGACACCACTGACAGATGGTGAAGGATAACATTGTGAGGAAACCTGAACTAATTTCAAATTATAAGTTTGAAATCAACAAGCAAGCAAGCTTGGTGATTAATATTCGAAACTTCTCCAAGTGAGAAGAGGCCTTTGCTCAGCAGTGGGCTCTGATAGGCTGATAAAGAAGAAGAATATTCTTATGTTCTATAAGATCTGTATCGCACCGTTAATGATGAAGCATGTTTTCAGTATCTCCGGGTAGTTAGCTTCGTACATCTGTAGTAATGAGAACACCAACTCAGCGGCCGGCTTCCAGGCGTACTGACGCATGTTGAAACCTTCCAGGTCGAACAGAACGGTCATCTGTTAAGAATTAAATGTCTGTTAAACGATCGTAATTATAGGAGTAGATAATAGAATTTATGTTAATTAACTAGTTTTCTACTGATTAAATGAAACTAATATTTTGCCGATATACTACGCGACTATATTTATATTAGACGAAATGTCTGCCCGTGAACACGGTTGCTTTAAAGTAACCGAAACGTCGGTAGTATTTCGTTTTAATCAAAAACAAAGTAGCGTAGTACATCTGCAAAATATAAGTTTCGTTTAAATGACTCGCGAAAATCTCAGATCTCATTATTCTACTGATTAAGTAAGGAATTTAGTATCAAACTGATTTCGCTGATGAATGTTCCTTTATTTAAATTGGAAGATTTATTGCTGGTTGTCGAGACCAAACATATGATGAATGAATACATGAAAACTATCTAGTATGTCATAATGATATTGAAATATAATTTCTAGAAAATCATGAATACAACGTCCAATATCACAAAAACGTTACATTTTGAATTCAAGTATGCAACATGCGAGGAAAGAAATATATACATTAATACATGAACGTTTTTTTTATAAATCAAAGAAAACTATAACACTTATTAGAAAGATAATAAAGTCCCAAAAAAAAACACACCTATAGATGTAGCAGAGGACAAATTCTTATATCCCAAAGCGATTCAAGCATATATATTATACATACATATCTCAAAATTCATATTTTTACCTTCAGGGCGTTGGGTCCATGTGTGGAAGCCTGTTTTCGGGAGAGTGCAAGATAATTCTCGAGATGTCTCAGCACCATGCGAATGATATCAGTTCGGGAAACAGCATGCAGCAGACCCCAGATGTCCAAACCCACAAATGGTACTATTATCACTGGAATAAAATACGTTTCTTTCGATATTTGCTTCAATCATGAGCTTTTACTGTAAATATTTTAAAGCTTGGACTATTTTTTGAAATGGAGAGATTTTGGTTAGAAAAAGTTATAAGACGAAATAGTATGAAGGATATTATTTCAAATGCACAGCTTGTCAGGGTGGTCGTTGATTATTTTGTGCTTTCATACAAAAAGAGATTAAATAAGCACAAAGGTGCAAAGTATTTTCAACAGACCTTGTTCTGGTATGGTTTCTTCACTACATTGTTTTTGGGATATTATTACAAATGTTGTGTTTTTGGCTTACCTATGTTATTCTTTTTATTTATGTCACTAAAATAATAGGATACCAATTTTCTCAGTCATAAATGTGTAACTTGTTAAGTTTTTGTAGCAATGATTGAATATGAAAAAAGATTAAAATTGTCGAGGGCTATAGCAATTGCTACCTTTGCTAAATCGTCAATCTAGTATTGTTTTATTCCATAAAAATGAATGGCTTTTTTGGTGACTTTAATATCATGAACTTTAAAAAGCCGAATATCATAGGCTTAAAATTATACTTATATTTTTGATATCGTCAAAAAATTCTTCAACGTCATATCAAGAGGTCTACTAACTACTACTACTACTAACATGGTGATCCTTCCTTGTCAAAGCCGGTGGTGCCGCTGGGAAAGTGTTTTTTCGAGGACTTCTGGCGCCTGCCAAGACGGCAGGGTGGTGTCTATGCCCCACTTTTCCCTCCATTGCATTGACTGGAAATTATTTAAACATTATCTCATCATTAAGTTATATTTTAATAGAATGGAGCTCAAACATGTGTACCAATAAGAGACTTTATATGCCATAGCAGTTAATTAAACTGTAAGTATTTACTAATATATGGTATAGCATATTGGATTGACGGCACTCAAAGCAAACCTAGAATTTTGAGAGTATTCTTATTTTCAGATAGCTGTAGTTCTTCAATAAAATATCACTTATAAGGAATGGTTTTAGAATTCTATTATTTTTTGTACATACATAATGTTCCACATTGTTCACAGTACTTTCAATTTATCGTTGCATTATTTTACATCTCAGTGCCAATTACATATAATTTATCATCATTACTTGCGAACCGTCGAAGGTCGTACGTAAACATTACAAAAATTTAATTACACTGTAATAAAATCAAACACAACTACAATATCAAGACGTACCTACAATATGTTTATTGTTATATAGTAATGTATTGTTTATATTCTTACATCTCGGAGCATCTTCTCGGCGGCTTCTGGGTTCCATTGTCTCGCTGAAATAAAACGCAATATTTGAGTAAAAAATAACGTGAAAATCGAAAATAATGAACAGTTTATGGAGGACAATCGTGATCTGTGCCCTTTGTAGGAGATATTTTGTTGATTAATCCATTGATTGGAAATTCTAAAATGGTTGTTGGTTAGTTTTTGGTTTCTATTAAGGGACTCTGGAGTATTCATAGAAAACAAACTGTATATAAAAGAATGATTCTCTGTCTGCAATAACTATCTTATCTGTTAAAGATTATTAATACATATTGCCGAAAATTATTTTACACCAACAATGATATTAAAGGATTTGTTGTACAAATACCTCCTATCGATCACCTTCCCAGAATTATATTAATTAATTAACAATAAATTGTCTCTAACTGTGGGAGATTTTAAACCTTGTGTTTTGCAATTTGGTGCGATTTTATCCAGAATGTTATAACAAATTAAAATCCAAATTTTTGTTGCAAATATTTATAACAATATAAGTTCGTTTTTTGAAAAATAAATTCCAGTAGCTAACTATAGTTTTTGGAAGTCAATTCTTATATCTCAGATGAGGGTTAACTTCGCGGCGACTGACAGTTGTTGACAATTGACATGATAATGTTAATAAATGGATATTATTTTATTCTGTGGGCTTTTACGTTTTATTAGTGCTTAAAAATTACTATGAATCTCTTTATGGCAGAGCTACATCACTAAGATAATAATCAGAAATACCTAATAACCAGTAAAAACCGTAGAAGGAAGAGAAAATGGAGAACGCTCTGTAATTATCGCATCTCACAAAGTGATAGTAGGAAATGCAGAAAAAAATACGTCATAACATACGTAGCAATTCGTACAACAAACCAGTTATACACAATACTACGATCAATGCCAATAGTAATAATTGGTGAATTTACTTAACCTACTTTGTTATACATGTTACATTTTATTGTATAATCTTTTATTTTAACATACACTGGCCACCGCTACATACACACACACACACACACATATACACACGTTTAAATCAGTAGTTTTTTTTATACAATAAAACTAAATATTCAATTATTGCTCAAATCCTTTAGAACAAAGAACCTTAAAATGGGTTTTGCACTAATAACTATGTCTTTAAACAGTTATACAGCGTGCTTCGTCATATCACTAAGTGTTTTCTATATATACAATATAAGACGTTAAAATTACAACGTGAGAAGGTTTATAAATGAAAAAAAAAAGTGTTAACGCTCTGTATGCAGTGGGAATAAAAAAATACAAAGATTGCAAGTTGCGTGTAAAGGTCTTAAAGATACTATGGCTGATGTTTTTATTACACTGTATATCTATAGGATGAAGAAAATAAAAATTTTGGAGGTAAAGTTGTATATAAACGGGAAATTAACATTTTGAAATGTTTATAAAATTATTCCTATATTCATTCAAATTATATTCTTTAATTTAGGTCAGTATTCAGATCATTCGATAAGTGCAAATACTTGAAATCTATTCAATTTAAAATGCAATATGTAGTATTTGTAGTCATTTCATTCATTGACAGACTCTATACATCTCATTTCAGAAGACCCTTTAAACCAATGTTATTATTTTTAATAGTAAACTACAGTTTATTTCAATATTTAAGGTACTTTTGTTCGTGGCCTTTACGTCTGTTGCACCCTTTATCTAGAAAACATCTTATTTTTTATACTAAGGCTTCATTCGCACTGGGATCTTGGTATGTTTTGTCAATGTTTTTATTACATGGACAAATTATAATCTTAATTACTGTGTGTTGCACCCTTTATCTATAATACAACTTCATGTCATTACTTGACATATGACAATGTTGTCAACTTTGATCTCTAATTAACTGACGTAATTAGTATTATCATGTTTTTCTTAACTTATTGATCACCTCGTCCTGACTTGGTATACAAAAAGTCATGTATAAGATGCAAAATAATTTTAATAAAAAGATAATAGAAATTAAGTTGACCTTTACATAATAAAGAGTTTGAATATAAATCCTAAATATATAAATATAGGGCATAGTCAGTAAAAAATCTTAATTTGAAACAAATATGTCTGCGTTACGGTTTTCGTTGTTTTAACGCTGAGCTAAATTATTGTGTATAAATGAATCACTAGTGTATAACTTCTTTATGAATAAACACTCAATATATCCTATGGTCTTATATTATACACATGTACATATAACATTGCTTACATTTGAAGATTCATATCCGAATTAGTTATAAAAACAAACAAACATCCTGCTAACGCAAAAGGAAATTCTTGTTACCTTGAGAGATAAAATTATAGGAACGAAGAATTTCAAATACAAGTTTAAAAATATTTGCTATATTTTAAAGAATAAATCTATTTTTTTTTAAGTATAATAATATTCAATGATTATAATATCAACTCATACAAAACAAGGATTTTGCGTTTAAAGTTAAGACACAAGTGCAGCACATTTTTTTTTCTGGTGAAACAATACATAAGGCAGTAGAATAATTTTTATAGTTTTTACCTCGCAACCATCTTAGTAGGAAGTGGTCGTTGTGTTCGGGCTTCAAAACATCTTTAACGCTCCTTCGAAACTGAAACAAATACCAACAAAATGTTAAGTACTCCGAATATGGAAATAAAAGAGAATAATTTAAAACAAGAGAAAAAAAATATTTCAATAAGACGTCACTTTTACGACTCCAACGTTGCTAAGCAACACAAGTATTGATGAAATAACAAAATAAACTTATACGAATCAGAATTTTACGCATTTGGACTGTTACTATTTAATTCATTAATTATTTACTTTATTTGTATCGTATTTCTTTTAATCGCGTATAGTATTGATCATGGCTGAAGGCGATAATATATCAACGTTTAGCGCGGATGGCGGTCAGGATACGGTTGGTCTGCCCCGAATTGTTATGGTCACTGAAGGATCGGATACTTCAGCCTCTTCACCCTCATCGACTTCCTCATCTGAAGATAATTGGGCGGACCTAATAAAATCAACAGAAATCCCTCCCGAATACTGGCACATACAGAAACTGGTGAAATATATGAAAGCGGGCAACCAAACTGCAACTATGGTGGCTCTGTCTTGTTTGAAAGACCACGATTTGACGATCGAGGTCAACCAGAGGGCCATACAGGAAATAGGTGGTTTGGAATTATTGGTGAACTTACTGGAAACTAGAGATTTATGCTGCATCTTAGGAGGGCTGGCTGTTCTCAGAGATATTACGCCGAATATGGAAATAAGGAAGAAGGTCACTGATTTAGGTGCAATACCACTCCTGGTAGGACTGTTGTCAGATCCGGCTAGAGATGTGCAAATTCTTGCAGCTGAGACCATTGCCAATTTAGGAAGAATCCGTAAAAGTCGAAAGTTTTGTAGAAAATTTGGCGGCTTGCCAAAATTAATAGACCTCTTGGATATTAGAGAAAGGTAAAGAAAATTGTATACTGTATGGAAGTTATATATAAAAATATTCTTTTAAATTTAGTTCCATATTATAGGTATCTTGTGACAGCGAAAGAAGAATTAAATCAGGACGAATTACAATTTCTCGATATAGCAAGAGCTGGTGCGAAGGCGTTGTGGTCGATGTCATCATCACAAAGAAATCGAGAGGCGATGAGGAAGTACGGCATGATACCCTTAATCGCTCGAATGCTCAAAACCATTCACTTAGACGTTGCTGTACCTGCTGTTGGACTCTTACAAATGTGCGCTAATGAAACTTCCTTTCAACTAGCTATACAGACCGAAAAGATGGTGAATGATTTGATAAAACACTTAGGGAATGAGGACAAGGACTTGAAGGTAAGTTTATGAGACATTCAATGTCAAACTCGTGTGTTAACATGTAAAGCCAACAAGGGTATAATATCCTCTTTTAATAGATACTATTTCATTAGAAATTTACGTACCTACAATTATCCACTTAAAATCACAAACATTAAATTTTATTTTTCAATGACATAACTAATTTGCACATAATAAAACAATACTAATAGAATTTTATTTACAGACGTATTGCAGTCTAGCAATATATAAATGTGCAAGTGATGCTATAACAAGAGATATGATTCGTGAAGCCGGTGGCCTTGAGTTGTTAGTCGAAGCAGCACAAGATTCCACAAACAGAGCGAACAAACCACTTATGGCTGCGGTTACGGGAGCCTTATGGAAATGTGCCAATAGTGACGCAAGTGTCAAGAAATTGGACCACCTCGGAGCAGTACCCATACTTGTCAGATTACTAGATGATGAGAATGATGGAGTGCTTACAAATGTTGCTGGGGCTTTAGCAGAATGTGCTAAATACCCTCCGAACCGCGATAAAATAAGGAACGCAGGTGGAATACCCATGTTAAGTAAGCTGTATATTACTCAACCATCATTAAAAGATATAACATTTATGTTTGATGTTTCATAAAACCGTAATGATAATTTTTATTACAGTACACCACTTAAATAATACCCACAAGCCATTATTAGAAAATGTGCCATTAGTTCTGATGGAGTGCGCTAAAGAACATAATTGTATGATGCAAATCGACGAGTTAGACGGGGTGAGGCTTATTTGGTCGCTGCTCAAGAACGATTCAAAAAAGGTGCAAACAAACGCTGCGTTAGCTTTGAGTCCTTGTGTGCAAAACGCGTCTGATTCCGGTGAAATGGTCAGATCTTTCGTCGGAGCCTTAGAGTTGACCGTTGACTTGCTAGATTCAGACGACCATAATGTTTTATCGGCTGTGTGTGCCGCAATAGCAACTATTGCCCGCGATCACGAGAACCTGGCTGTAATCTCTGACCACGGTGTCGTAGCGAAGCTGTCGAAACTCGGTGAGTACTGGTACTTAGCAACATAATAAGCGGTAAAGATTATGAAAGTGCAGTATATTAAACAGCAATATAATACACATTAGAGTTTTGTATATATTATTGTACTATTTTATTTTTAAATAGTTGTTACAAAATCCAACAAGTGTTAGATTACGCAAAGAATATCCTTGAAAGATTTACAAAAGAATAATAATTGAAAGGGATTCTTTTGAAATTATCTCAATGTGCTTTTGAATGGAACCTTCAAATTTATAATGATGTTCATCCTTTATTGAAATATAATTGAAAAGTAGTACTGTTAGAGATTGTACTATTAGATATAGGTAATCCAAGTGATTTTTGTACAAGAAAATACTTATAAATAAAAAGCAAGCTATTTACTTATATTGAAATAAAATTTTTGAGAAATAGTTATTTTTTAAGATATAGTCTGTATGAAAGTTAAGACAATCAAGGTCCTATGTGTATTAAATTTTATTGAATTGAATATGTTATTTTATTACAGTGAGTACAACGGACGACCATCTGCGTGCCAACCTTGGCGTAGCGATCGCGTATTGTTGCGACTGGGCACAGAACCGTCAAGAATTTGGTAAACGTGGAGCAATCACGCCGTTGGTTAATTACATGACTTCAAGAGACCCGAACGTGCATAGAGCGACGGCATTGGCTTTGTATCACCTGTCCTTCTATTCGTTAAATTGTGTGACAATGCATGCGGTGAGTTTATCTGGAGTATTCTGATACTCGGCTTGTTTTATTAAAATGACAAAATAAGTGCAAAAACTGTCTGTTCTTATGCTATTTTTCAATTGGTTAAACGAATATTATCTACAAATTAATGGGCATTTGAAAGATGTTGATATAATTTTCATCCTAATTCTTTATTTCCGATCAGATAATGAGTAAATTTTTAAGTACATATATCTATACCATTTTTACTATTTCGTAAAAGTTTCGCAAAAACCTCAAATTGTATGTTTTATTGCGTTTTGAAACGAAAAGTAGTAACTCCATAATAATAAACAAGTTAAAATTTAGTACGATCAAAGTCGAAGGTAAAATCAATTGTTTGTAAACATAAACAGAATGCCCTCTAAATCTTATTTGGAAAGTTTTTAATAAATGACAAATTATATTGAATATTCATGATGACTTTCGATCATCGCTGAAAAAACTTAACGCGTACGTCATGCTTTAAATGTTTACGACTAATTTAATCAACACATCCATTTGGGAACAAAACATATTTTATATTCTATGAGCGAATCCTCATTGTTATGGCGACAAGACTTGTATAATTATTTGTCATAGCCATTGGTATTACAAATGACGAAAGATGTCGTGGTTTCAATTCATTGTTTTTCTTAGCAAGTTCTTTAGTAATTTGAAAACCGATAGATTAATTACGATTTAAACTTCCAAACATAATTTCATAATATCGTTACGCAAGGTCTGTCATGAGAGTTTGGTTACACTAAACTATTCAAATTGCTGACCACAGCCAACGAAAGCCATTGACAAATGCAGAATTTCATGTTATATAAATATATTACTAAGTTTATGAATATTACATTAATTAATTTTCTTTAAACGTTTCTATAATTTAAAATGTAATAAAAATGTAAATGCAAAAACTATATATAAATATATTGTATGTTAATTTTATGAGTAATGAATGCAACGAATAGTTTTGTTGTCTTTCTGTTTTAAGAATACCAATTTATTTCGAGCGGAATATAGAGAACAATTATGCTAACATAAATTCCAAAGGATGTTTAAAATATTTTTTAAGTATTTTTTACTTTTAGTTTAGATAATGTCGTCTTCTTAATTTTTTGGTTCTACATTTTATAACAAAATTAAAAATAGCATAAAGACTCTTTGGATAACACTAAATAACAATAATCGTACAACTGGGCTGACTTACGAGTAGTAATTAAAGGTTTTTTTTTCGCGTCGAGTAAAAAATCCTTTAAGGAAAATCTTCTATATAAAAATAGAGGTATATATTTAGACTTAATATCATGCATTACTTCACTGGTGCGTGACAGTGACGCAGTATTATTAGGTTTTAGTGTTTAAAAAATTAATCTCATGTATTAAAGCGTATTTACAACTGTGCTGGAAATGTCAACCAAGTCTTTCTTTAAGCTAAAGGGGACATACGAGCAGAGGGCCTACCTGATGGAGGTAGGTACTGTTGCCCATGGCCATACGCATCATAGTTTTGCGGATGCATTACCACCCTTATTTGGGGAAGAGGGAGAGGAAATGGTGGGAAAAGGAAAAGGGCAACCACCTCTCCCACTTATTAATGACTATGTCACGTCGACCTTCTGTAAGAGGGTGGTACTTCCCCCGGTCGAGCTGCAGTAACTTGACCACAGCTACGCTCTACCACCTTGAATGAAACTGACAATCAAAGGTAATAAAAGTGAAAAGCAAAATTATAAATTTTATTATTATTAGATGGCGTTATACATTTTCAATTCTATATCTGTTAGTCTTAGATATAACTATGCTACATATAAATATTTATATTACCTATAGTCATTCCTACTTTTCTTAATACCTTACAAATGTTTACCTCGTGAAGGTCATGTGTCATGTAATTCGTGTAAACGCTCCTTTTTTGACTTTATTGTAAACGTTCAGAAATTAATTGAACTTAAAATTAGATCCGGTTCTCTTAATCGCTATAATTTACGTTCAACTATAAAAGTTTTTATAATTTAAAAGATGAATATTTAATTTATTTTATTCGCAATCCGTTGCATTTATAATTATTTATGAGCGTTTTAAATTCTATACAACAAGGACCCTTGTCCAAGTCTCGCTTGGTTGTAGTTTTGAAAGATAATAATAACCTTCTTTTTTGTAATTCTATAAACGGTATAAATTAAGAACATTTCATTTAAAATGAATAGTTGAAAAGTAGGTGAAAAAATTATAATATCATTAGTATGGAGCATAATGTAATAAAAAGTAATATATTAACTTAAATTTTAATAATGGCTCATAGTATGTAAGTATATTTAACATAAAAAATATCTATATGTTTTATTAGGAAGCTAATTTAACATATTGTTATCCTGTTTTGATAATTTCATTAAGTAGTAACTATTATATTTTATGCACTATAAAAATAGATTTTAATTAATTAAGCAAAAAGTAAACGAGATAAATAAAATTAAAAGTATAATGAATAAGGGGAAAAACTTGTTTCGTTGACCCCGCTATATAAATCATAAACACTGAACGCCGAATATACGAGTTACGAGTTATTTAATAAAGGTTAGTGTCTAAAAATAGCAGCTTAAGAATCTTTTAATAACTTTATATATGATTATTGTCTTAACGTCCTCTAACAGTCCTTCATCATTACCTAAGTATCCTTAATCCAAGTTTTCATCGTCACACTAAAAATGGCACGTTGACAGTTTTTCAATCATAAATCTTGTTAATTAGTGTTATTGTTGATAAGTGAATTAGAAATGGGACACGCATATTATGTAATGTGATTATTCCAACTTGTGATACGCATATTAGATAGTATTTCCAATATAATACACCCTATAGTCTACACTCGTACTAGCTATGTTCATACCCCGTATTCACATGGGAGGCGACATTCACATATGTAGAATGAACAATAGATGACGTTTTTAATATATTTTAATTAGTAAATAGCAGCTTGGGCCAGTATTATTTAAGATATACTATAATATAATTATTTTAATCATCATTGTTAATGTTAACTGTGGAGATACATTTATATCAAGTGTGCAGCGTGTATATTTATTTATTTTAAATCATATACTTAACTGTCCTTTATAAACACGATGACACAATTCTTTGGCTGTTCTTATCATAGTCGTACGTACATTTGTATAGTCACACTGCTTACCTAAAACCTAACTCTTCTACTTATATGTGGGTGTATAAATATAATAAATTATTATGTATTGTTTAGATGTTTGTGTGATTTATTTTTATGTCAAACCAACTTTGTTTTGTATCGATGTTTATTATTATGGTAACACCAGATTCTAAATATATGTAATAATTATCTTCCACAGATTATATATTGTCCGAGAGAAATGAGTTCTCTATAATGAGGTTGTATAAAATATTATTTTATAAATTAATATCTAAATTATTTTCTCAACAGGCGGGTGTAGTGCAGTTCCTTCTAGAAACTATGGGTTCTAAAGATCCAATTTTGCAAGAGGCGTCTGCTGGCTGCCTTTGTAACATTCGGAAACTGGCACTTGCGACTGAGAAAATCAAGCTGAAGCAATAGTGACTTACGTTAATAAATGACTATAAAAACATTAACGTACAAAAAATTCCATTGTTAAATGTTAATATTTTTAAATTGTTCTTACTTAACCTAATGGCATTTTGATGACGATCTCAACAATAGTATTACGAAATTACTAGAAAAAATCTCCGAATAACTGACAGAGGTCAAGTTTAAAACTATGTTTTGTTATGTATGTCGTTTTTGTAGCGCACTCATTTGTTTACAAATCTTAAATGACATATATTTTGCCATAAAATACAAGGCGTATTTTATATATGAAAAGTAATGATTATGATTTAAGGCAATGAAAACTGCAGTTACGTCGGGTGCAAGTGGCAGTGTTAGATGTTTGATTGCGCAAGCGCATTGCAAGCGCCGTGCCTTGACCTTCTTGCTGCGTTTTTGCAAGACATTCGATTAATAAATATTTGATATTAAGAATACTATGGTTAAATTGCATGTGTTCTTACTCTGTTCTAGGGGAATACATGAAAGGCAATTTTTATATATATGTATAAGTCGGTTCTCAGACCTACTCAATATGCTCACAAAATTCATCAAAATCGGTCTAGCCGTTTCAGAGGAGTTCTCTGTCTAACACCGCGACACTAGAATTTTATATATAAGATACATATTATGAGTAATTACTTCATCCCGATGGCTAGAATGTTTCAGGATAATTTAAAAATATTTTACAAAAGGAAATTGCGGATTAATAGAAACTGGAGTCTGTTAAAATAATTGTTATTACCAAATCAATGAAGTATAATAACATAAAAAAATTACACAACTGCCTTGTTTATAAGTTATTTTTAAGATAAGTATATAAGTACGTCCCGAAATTAGAAAAATAATTTAAATGTTAAAACCGGATACTTTGTTTTACTGTTTTTCAATAAGTCACTTCTCTGATTATATTTTTTATAAACAGTACACTTTACCTACAGCGGGTACCTATCGATGTTTTGAAAAGAAATTTAACATCTAAATACCTATACTCATACGGAATTAGAAAGTCGACTGTGATTTACATATATATAAATGAATTCATAAATGATATAAAAGTTAACTAGCGATTAGTAATAAAATTACACTGATGGAAAAAAACTCAGCCTACATTAATGAGTTATGAATTGGCGGCAAACAATCGCGGTCAACTAGGACATTCGAATCGCATAGTTTAACAGGGATTAATTGTCCGGTTTTTTGTGAATTGTTTGAAAAATAAAGAAATATTTATAAAAATACTCCACTATACTTAACGTTGCTACTTAAAAAATATCCATGTTCTAAAAAAAAAAACTAATTACGGTTTTTCATAAATTAGGTATTACATCCTAAAATATTGTGAAGTTAATGAAAAATGTTGCCATATTGCAATCTTTTTAAAGGACAAATGTTTTCGTAATATCTTTTGGATATTATTTTGTTACTTGTTATTTTTGGAGCTTATGGCATAGTGATCTTTTAAATGATATAACAATGCACTTCACTTTATGCCCGCTGGACCCTTTTAATGGCTCGTGATTGTTGTCCGACCGCATTATTAACATTTATTTAAGAGTTCATTTTATATTTGCTAAAGGTTATATTATGTGTTATAAATAATGATTTTTTTATGCATAATTTATATGATAAATTATACACTGAGTATAATTATCAAACGTAATGCTTAAGCTGTATAGACAAAATATTATTACGTCGTCAAAACATCGATAATTTGATTGTCATATTTGAATACGACTGGTTTTTTGGCAGTGATACGTATTAATTAACTTGAAGAATAGCTAAGCTTAAGGAATTCCGGGTACATAAATTTTTTTTAAGATCAAAAATAATAAACATCATTAAAAATTTGTTACCCTTCAATGTTAAAAATTGAGTTTCTATCATACTACATATTAACATAATAAAAATAAAGTAGTTTATTAGTTTATGATAATTAATTCTATTAAAACCGGGTTTTTATATATCTTTACCCGTATAAAATTTAATTTTTACTGTTTATAACTGATCTTTGGATATATACTGTATAATTTAGTATCTGTGGCAGGGCTGATGATAGAGTATGTGATGTAGATTAATAAATGCACAATTTAACCACAGATTATATTCATAGTAACCATAAAATTAGATAGGACAGAAAAACAAGAAATCGATGGTCGTAGGCCCATAACATAATAAGACCAACTGACAGACATTCACATCTCGTCTGCCCGTGATCACGGTTTGCTGCAAAGTAACCGAAACGTCGGGAGTATGTAGTATATAATCAAAAAATAAAAATCGCGTAGTACATCCGAAAAAATATTGGTTTCATTTGACTTTTTTTTATATATTGCGCATTTTTTTTTTACTACGGTAATACTCAAGTTGCGTAATACTATAATGAACAATGACATAAATGCAAAACTGTCTACCCTGTCTATATGTAGTGTTGAAAAGATGCCAATTTAGATCACTCCTATTGGTCATAAAAAAAGATTTAAAAAATGTAGATGTCAAATAATAAAACAGAACGGAAGCCATTTTTCTTACTTTAAATACAATGAAACAATGGAACAGTAGTATGATATTATTATTATTATAGTAGAAAAAATAAGCATGAATTTTTTATGCTATGGCTTTATTCGCACTGGAATCGTGGAATGTTATGATAATGTCAATGTTTTTATTTATTGGACGCATTGTAATCTTGATTGAGGGAACTTTAAAATTAATTCTGAGTTATTGACATTTGTTTCTGAATGTCAACATCTAGACTTAGATTTCTAAATAGCTACTAGGTACATATATTTTTGATAAAACTAATATTTTTTTGATTAAAAAACTACGCGTATTTTATTATTTCAAAAACTAAATAGTCTAGACGTTTCAGTTACTTTTCAGCAAATGAAATGTGACTCGTCTGGCCGTGATGTAAACGTCGGGAGTGTGTAGTTTTAAAGAACATAATCATATACGCGTAGTATAATACGAAAATATTAGTTTCATTTAAATGAAAATACTCGCGAAAGGCTTATTTATCGCTATAAATTTGTAAGTTTTAAAATCGTTTTAAGTACATTAAAGGTGTAAAACTTTGAGGAACCAGACATTTATTATAATTATACTTTTTACGTATGTAGTTTATAAATACACAAAAATACATTTGAAAAAACGTGGCTCGTTCTTAAAGCGATTTTTTTTATGAGTCAGACACATTTTTATAATATGTAAGATAGACGCATAAAAAAAATCTTTATTTGAATTAATAATAGCATAGGATAATTTATAAAATATATCACATACCATAGAAACAACTTAGCTTATATTTAAAAAGCTATGGATAGATTAAGATGTTCAAATAAATTTTTGCTTCTTCAGTTATTAAGATAAAAATATGAAAAAATATACAATGGGAGTATATTGTCAGGTGCAATATTTGAAATAGCTTGTCATGTTGTAATATATTTTACTAAGTTATTCTAATTCGAGCACTATGAATTTACTATCATCAGGGGACTCTTTGTAACGTGATTCCCATTATACAAATAACTTTCCCTTCAACTAACATAACAAAAGTCAGGAACAGAATTAACTACAGAGACGAAGACTCAGCATTCAATGATTTCACTGCACGGGTGCCGGGTCCATCGTTTGTAGTGAGAGGAGCTTCAACAGTGCCTGGGACTTTGCGACCCAGGTGCAGGTTTAAGGGACCCTATCTGACGCGCGTTTATACGCTCACATCCACCGTTAAAGCTCCATTTTAATATACAGGGTGACTGGTGAATTACTATCAATATTTAAGGAGCATACTCGGTTTCATGATTCTCATTCGAATTATGTAAAAAAAATAGGTACTTAAATTTTGACCAAATTTCCGTATAAATTTAAATAAAGTGTTTGACAACGTTTCCAAGTGTTCCAAGTGTGGAACTTGTCCGGCGGCGTGCAGATACAACACTACGCCGCCGCGCCCCCGCGTCTGGTGTGAGTGTGTGTGTATACCTAATCTGTAGGGTGTTCATACGATGCGTAATTAATTACATAACTTTTGGTTAACTTTACTTAGAAGTTTATTAATATTTATGTTATTATTAATTTTTATTTTGTCATATATGATCGTCAAATATCACGTCCTCAAATATCGATAGTAATTCACCAGTCACCCTGTATATGTAGTGTACAAATATTAAATTACTAGCTACGATATAAATCTATGAATTGTGATAAGCGTTCAGCTTATTATTTATAGTAATATGAAGTGAAATTAAATAATAGTCTTGATAAAAAAATGTTTTTTTGTAATAATAATATTGCCCTGTTAATTATATTATTTATAATATGTAAGTTTTTTTAATTTCTATCGTACTTTCAGATTTCGCGTATTTGTCAACGTTTAGTTTTTTTGCAATATGCTAGCATTGACAGTTTGTCCCTTCGCTTATAAATTGACTAATGTAAGGATTTTTCTCCATAATAATACTCAAGATTATAATTCGTCCAAAAAAAAAATAAAAATGGTTGATATAGCAAAATATTACACAATTCCAGTTGCTAATGAAGCCTTAGCATGAAAAATTTTAGATTTTTTACAAGAAAATAATATAATAAAACATTGTCAAAGATTTTATTTATATAAACAATTTAATTATAATAAAAAATGTTTACCCTCAATGTTTAAAGAATTTCTCATAAAGATATATTAAAAAATTGATGAGTCTTAATTCGGATTTATTTTTAAAACGTTTATAATTAATATTCATTCTTCTTTGTCGGGATGTCATGTTTTTGTGATAAAAACATGGCATTGCAATTATCACATGCATGTGAGAATAACATTGCAACAGAACTTAACAAAACACTTTGTTAAATACATAGTTATAGTTAAAATCATTGAAAACATTTAAATTATTAGAAAAAATCCTGTCAAAATTCACGTAATTTCAAGAATTCACATATAGGTATATAGTATATACATTAAATTGCGTTCGACTCCAAATATATTAATT